GCGCCACCGCACCCGCCTTGCATTCAGTTTTATAAGGAAAGCGAGACATAAAAGTTTGGAAAATGTGAAGCCTGACAATGTGTAGAAAAAAAAAATCCCATTTTCTGAGAAAAAATTCAAGCCAGCTGCAGAAATTTGCATAAGTAACAAGGAACCAAATGTTAATCCCCAAGACAACTGGGGAAAATGTCTCCAGGCCATGTCAGTGGTCTTCGCTACAGACCCTTCCATCACAGGCCTAGAGGCCTAGGAGGAAAAGTTGGTTTCATGGGCTGGGCCCAGGATACCCGTGCTGTGTGCCGCCTAGGGACTTGGTGCCCTGCGTCTTCAGCTGCTCCAGTCATGGCTTGAAAGGGGCCAACATAGAGCTTGAGTCATGGCTTCAGAGGGTGCAAGCCCCAAGCCTTGGCAACTTCCACCTGGTGTGGAGCCTACAAGCACACAGAAGTTCTATTGTTATATTTAATATTTTAAATATATTATTGAATTGAGAATGTTATTTTTTTTTTTTGAGTTTCACTCTTGTTGCCCAGGGGCTGATGCAATGGTTACATTCTCGGCTCAGTGCAACCTCTGGCCTCTTAGGTTCAAGCAATTCTCCTGCCTCAGCCTTCGAGCAGCGGGATTAAAGCTGGGATTACAGGCATGTGCCACCATGTCTGACTAATTTTGTATTTTTAGTAGAGATAGAGTTTCTCCATGTTGGCCAGGCTGGTCTTGAACTCCTGACCTCAGGTGATCTGCCCGCCTCTGCTTCCCAATGTGCTGAGATTACAAGCATGAGCCACCACACCCAGCCTGAGAATTTATTTTTATCAATATATTAAGCTTAAAAATCTTAAGCTATTATATTTTAAGATAATTATTATATTATTATTAATTCAATAATATATTTTTCTACACAAGCCTACACAGAGTACTCCATTTAAAAATTAACTATGACATAGTATTTCACAATTTAGACATTCCTCAGTTTGTGAATTTCACAATAAGCACTTAGGTTTTCCTTAATATTTTGCTTTTACAAATCACACTATTCATAACCATGCCCCTTGTATACATGAGAGTGTTTCTCTAGAGTGGATACTGAGCAGGAAATTGCTGGGTAATGTATAGGTAAGTGCTGAAAAATAAGATAGCCCTGTCCCTTGCTCTCCACTAACAGTGTGAGATCATTGCTTCTCTACATTTATTCTTAATATCATACATCTGAAATTTTCTTAGAAAATAGATTACTATTTCATTGTTTTATCTGCAATGCCCTCATTTACTAGTAATGACTGCATCTTGTCAACTATTAGTATATTTAAATGGTCAATAGACCAAATGGACCGCCTGTTTGTGTTATTTGCCCATTTTTCTATTAGGTGTGTTCATCTAATTATTTAGTTATAGATTTTCCTTGGATTCTTGACATTTTTTATATGTGTTACAAATTTTTCTCTCACTTTATAACCTGTCTCCATTTTATTTGTATTGGCATTTGCCACATGTTTAAAATTTTGATGTCAAATATATCAATGTCTCCCTTTTGTCTTTGGCTTTTTGTGACTTGCTCAAGAAGACATAGCCTGTCAATTTCCTAAGACTTATTGACTATCTTTTATTCTAATTTTTTTTAAAATTGTGGTAAGAACACTTAACATGAGCTCTACTCTTAAATTTTTAAGTACAAAATGTAGTATTGTTAACTACAGGCAAAATGTTGTAAAGCAGATCTCTAGAACTTAATCATCTTATATAACCAACTTTATACTCATTGAACAGCAGCTCTCCATGATTTCTCCCTCCTCCCAGCCCTTGGCAAGCACTTTTCTATGAATTTGTTTCTATGAATTTGATTACTTTAGATACCTCTATTGGTGGAATCATGCAGTCTTTTTCCTTTTTGTGACTGGCTTATTTCCCTTAGTATAATGTCCTCCAAATTCATCCATGTTGTTGCACATGGCAGGGGTTTCTTTTCAAGGCTCAATAATACTCCATTGTGTATGTATATTTTATATGTGTATATATATGTATACAGATGTATGTATGAATGTGTGTGTGTGTGTGTTTGGGGTTTTTTTCATTTTTAAAATTTTATTTTTTATTTCAATAGGTTTTTGTGTATATGTATGTATGTATATATATACACATACACACACACACACACACACACACACCCCACATTTTCTTTATACATTCATACATCGGTGAATATTTAGGTTGTTTCTACATATTGGCTATTGTGAATAATCTGGCATCTTCTAATGGTTTTATGGCTTTGTTTTGATATTGAGTTCATTAGTGCAACTGAAGTTTGTGTGTATAAATTGTATGAGGTAGCAGTTTCTGTCACCTCAGGAAATTAATAGCCAATAATTCCAATACCATTTACTACATCTCTTGTCATTGTTAATTTGAAATGCCACCTTTATCACTTATTGTTTCAAATATACATAGGTCTATTTAGGGGAAAAGTTTTTTAATAAAGTTACAACTTTTTAAAAATACGGATTTATAAAATGCTAAAACTCTTGACCTGTGGCCTACATGACATAGAGTATCATTTACACTTTGCTGGTTATCATTTGTACTGAAACACAATCTTTACAACTGAATGCTAAGGGAACTCTATCATCATTTTGTTTTAATTATTCCATTCCATTCATAAGGTCGCTTGTTTCATCATTCTAGACACCTATTAAGCCCAGTAACTTATTAGCAGAATATGAGTCAAGTCTCACCAAGAGCATGTATAATAGCATATATGTATATACCAACAAGAAAGCCAGACGCTCACAGCTGGTCAATGAACTCTCTTTCCTCTTTCACTGTGGGCCTCAACCATTGATATACTACCATCTTTAATGTGGCCTTTTTTGAGACAGAGTCTCGCTCTGTCGCCAGGTTGGAGTGCAGTGCCACGATCTCGGCTCACTGCAACCTCTGCCTCCTGGGTTCAAGCGATTCTCCTGCCTCAGCCTCCCAAGTAGCTGGGACTACAGGCACATGCCACCGCGCCCAGCTAATTTTTGTATTTTTAGTAGAGATGGGGGTTTCACCATGTTGCCCAGGATGGTCTCAATCTCTTGACCTCATGATCTACCCACCTCAGCAACCTGACCTATCTTACTCTTCATCCTCACTGTTTTCCTCTCTTATTTGGTATAATCTAAATAAATGTAACCCTAATGGTTAAAAGAAAAAAAAAGTCTAGTTAAACAGAGGAAGATGACAAAAGGGAGAAGGTGAGAAAACCCATGTCACTGACTAGTAGAACTAAACTGAGAAAGCCGTCTTGCTCTGAGTTCCTTGGGGTGTAAGGAATCCAAATAAGTTGAAAGTTTCCCTAATTTTGATCATTTTCATGGCTTGTTTTAGATTTTAAGGTTTAATATTTATATAGCAAATTATTTCACCAAAATTCCTATATAAATATTAAGTTATGTCTGACAAACATATATTATTTAGGTAATCAGAGAGTATGTAAGTCTTCACAAGAGGATTTTTTTTTTTTTTTTTACATTTTATGCCATTGGTCTCATGAGTAAAAAAGAGAGTCATTTTTATTTTTTTGACTTACAGCTGCAAGTTCCCAATAGTCTACATCTCATATATCTTACACCATTCTTTCTCATTTGCTAGTCAGATACTTTCTTCTTTACGTCCTTCCAGATTATGCATTTAGTCTCTTTACAACTATAAAATAAAGTCCAGAAAAGAAAAAAAAAATCATTTCCTAGGTTTGTTATCCTTGCCTTGGGTCTTGAGCTATCTGGCCCTGGAGTCCTAAGGATAAATGAAACAAGAAAGCTGTTCCTTCTAATATAAGGTCTCCAAGAATCTCATGTCAACAGAAAGGTGGCTTACTTCCTCAGCTCTTCTGCCAGGTGTCGCTGGCTGCTTTCCAGGTTCTCCATACTTTCCTGATTCAGCTTTAAATCGCCCTCCAGTTTGTGCAGTTCCCTTTCACAGTTAATTCTCGCTTTTCTCTCCTGCTCAAGGGCACCCTCAAGCTGACAAAAGGAGACATTATTTAGTCAAATAAATAGGTAGAGTTTATACTTCACTAGATGTGTTCATTAACCACTTACCTTCTGGAAAAAGAAAGACACAAGCACAAATTCTATAAATGATGCCCAGTAACATAGATATTTCCAAATAAATATTGCATATGTCAACAGGTTAACAAAAGAATCCAGAAATCACAGGGATGGAAGAAAACTTTAGAAATTACAGAATATGAGTTCTGTCTTAGGGAAGGAACCAACAAGAAATGGCCAGTGAGCCCTTGATTGATCTCTTTCCAATGATAGGAAGCTCACTTCTTCACATGGCAGCTCATTTCACGGGTGGATAAGTCCATTTACTTGGGAGTGCTTCTTCACAAGAAGCCAAAATATTCCCTGTAAATTCTATCCACAAGCACAAGCTCTGCTCCCTGGAGCAACACCAAGCAAATCAGTTTCCGCATGATCATCCTTAATAATTTGGAATAACCCTAGGCATCACTGGCCCATTCAAACACATTCTCACATGGCATGATTTTTAAGCCCCGTCACCACCTTGGTACCCTCTTCTAGTTCATAACATCATGTCATATTCTGGTTCCTCACTAAATGTTCTCCATCAGAACATTCCAGTTTTGTATGGATTAGTATTGCCAGGAATTATATAGAGGTTAATTTTCCAGGAAGCTAGATAACAGTCACAATATGGCTTTTTATTTATTGATACGTTTACTTTAAAACAATGGAAGATATGCTCTGTAACCAGCCAAAGAGATGAAATTCAAATTGGGAGGGAGGGAGAAATTCTGGAAAGGATATATGTAAAAATCAGAAAGTAGATGAACACTGAGTTCTGTGGACTGAAAGTCTGCGTCCCCGCCAAATTCATACGTTGAAATCCTAATCCCTAGTGCAATGGTGTTGGGAGGTGGGCCCTTTAGGAAGTGATGAGGGCATGAAGGTGGAGCCTCCAAAGAATGGAATTAGTCCTTATAAAAGAGAACCTGGAGAGCTTCCTTGTTCTTTCTGCCATGTGAGGACACAAGGAGAAGTCACCCTCCACAAACCAGGAAATGTGTTCTCACTAGACACCAAGTCTGCTGGTACTTTGATTGCAGACTTCCCAGTCTCCAGAACTGTAGGAAATAAACTGCTATTTATTTGCCACCCAGTTTATGGTATTTTATTATAGCAGCCTGAATGGACTAAGACACCACGAGAGAATAAATGTGTGGGTGTGTGGGTGTGGGTAGGTGTGTGTGATGTGCATATACATGCACATATATAAACACCCAAAAATCCTTATGCTGAGGCTTTGTGAGATATGTAATTAGTGGAAATAGGAAGAAATGTAACACAACGAATAAGTAATAGAAGAAACTTATATAGAGGCAGGAAGAAAGAGCAGCAGACAAGGAAAAAAAAAAAACCTAGCCACCCTTGTCAACAATTTTATAAAGGCTACACTTTATAAAAGTGGGGACTACTGTGAGCATAAATGCATAGCATACACTATGTCAGCTGGGGTGGGAAAAAGGAAGAATTATGAACCCACACGTTGAAACTGGTGTGAAACAGTTTTATTTCACAGGGCATTTAGAAGCAAAACAAGGGCATCATCTCTAGAATCTTAAAAGTAATTTCCAATAGTGTAGGTAGAACACAGCTTGTGCCTCACGTATCTTTCAACCATAAATAAATCTCAGCACACCACTGGAAACACACACGGCCTTTAAAACGAATCCTTCAACACCAGTGTCAAATAAAGTACCAGCATATCTGTAGCACAAAACACCAGGTTCCATGGGAGATATGGGGAAAGCCAGTCACCTAGAGTGATTACCCTTTACCATGCATCTTAATGTTCTTTTACTATCGTCCAGGGTTGAATGAAAGTTGCATTTGAAAACTGATAGATTATATGCAGAGACCTCTCTTATACTGTCGTGGTTTTGTGTATAAAAAATAACCCTTTTATTCTGAATAATCAGGAAAACTCTGCTACTAGGTTTTCCTGAAAGTGTCAAGATAAATTAATGAATTTAAAACTGGAGTTATGTATATATGTAGACAGATAGCTAACTAACCAGATACACCGTTACTGACCCCAACAACTTGCTGTTCCAGCTTCAGATTTGCTTTGCTCAGGCTGCTCAGCTTCTCCTCCTCCATGTGCAGGTCATCTAGGGTCTGCTGATGGGCCTCCTGCACAACTTTGGCTGCTCTGTTAAGTTTGCTGATATCCTCATTTAGAAACTCTACTTCCTCAGTCAGGTTCTTGACCTGTGGGAAGATGATGACAGCTTCATTAAAGCCACTGCTGGAAAGTTGGGCATAACACTGAGGGTCATCTCCTTTTGTCGTCCAGAACAAAGCATGAGGTATCCAGTGTCATAAAGAGCTGTATTTAGCCAAGTTCCTGATACACTTTCTAAAGCTAAATTTAGTTTTTCTCCCACAAAAATGATCTGTTATCTGTCATGGTCAGGAAATGGAGTATTCTGTTTAAACATTAATATGAGTAAATAATTAACATTATTCATAATTATTTAACATTATTAATATGAACTAAATTGGATGGCCAATTTAATTCACATTATTATATAACAGTAACAACACTAAAAGCAATTGCGATTTCTTTTGAGGAGTCACGGCATGTACCGATCGCGTTGTGCCTCAGTATCCCAAGAAAGTGGCAGCTAAAGAAGGGTTCCAGCTGATAAAACATGCAAACGTGGAAGTTGACTGTATCAGGCCCATGTGCTTTTTATGAAAGGGAATCAATAAAAATAAGAGTGCTATTTAATAGCCTGCCAAAATTACGGTGTCACTTTGGAGACTGTATCAGAGGCTTGATGCAGACTCTTCATTGTCCTCAATCTACACACAGATGCGCAAGTTAAAACCCTCAAACAAACTCTCAGCCAAAACAAACAAAACACGAAAGTCCTTAACTAGAATTAAAGTGACATCTTCAAGGTCAAACTCCAAATCAATGACACAGCTGGGGACTCAGGCACATCCCAAATTATCTTTTAGCAAACCATATCATGCTCATTCTCCCTCCAAAAAAAAAAAAAAGGGTTCTTACAGGCCCCATGAAACCATTTTACTCTATTATAGAGTTCAGATGCAATAGGATTGGAACAAATGAAAATGTTTCATTTGGGAAGTTAAATAAGGTTTCATAAGTTCAAACTGGAAATCTGAATTGGGAGAGCATAGTTTATCAGACCCTATATTTTGTGCCAGTTCTGACTCTCAATGCTGTAAAGTTGCAGGCCACTGTGTTAATTAACTTAAATAGAGCAAGTCAAATACCAAAACCTGATTTGAGAGTGGAATTCTGGCTGCTAGGCCTTCTAAACTAACATTATGGAAAAAGTACCTTGTGCTCTGTAGTACGTTTCTCCTTCTCTGACTTCACCAACATTGTTTCCAAGTCATCGATTTCTTTCTTCAACTCCGAACATTCATCTTCCAGTTTCCGCCCCCTGGCAGTCAGCTCAGAATTTATCTCCTCTTCTTCCTCCACCCTCTCCAACAGCTCTTTTACTCTGGCCTCCAGCTGGATCTTGGATTTAATCAGCCACTCGCACTGCTCTTCAACATTTGCCAGTGTCTCTTGCTCCTGCCATGATGAGGAGAAAATTGTTGCCAACAGCTGGAAGTAATTTATCAGCTAGGCGAAAATGCTGCTTAACACATAGCAAAGAGATAATTGTCTGCCCTCTGCCCAGCACTTTCACCTACCTTTCCTAAACAGCTGCAATAATATTCCCAGGTCCCTGATCAGATCACTGAGAAGTGGAGAAGTTGCTTGTGTTTGGAGGTGCTTTCGATCTCTCAGGCCAATTCAGTAGATTAGATTACCTCTTCTAAAGCACTTAATAGAATCCTGGTGGCCTAAAGGAGCTAGCGTGCCTCCAAAAATCAGTGGTGTGCTGCTTAAACCACAGCTTCTGGAAACATCCATGTGGGCACAGAGTTTGAGGTAGATAACTGCTCAAAAAATCATCTTTTAAGAAAGCAGAGTTCCCTCAGAATATTGCACTATAACTATTACAAGTGCACAGATGTACGTGTTTAATATACATCTCTTCTAATAAATTGAGCTGAGTTATATGTTTTTTAAATTCATAGGCTAAATTTAGAATTCATAAGTTTATTTGCAAGTCACTAACTAGATTTCACTGTTATTTCGAACTAAAATTTTTGCCTCAATGATTCTGATAGTACAAAGTTACACAAAGAGCATATAGTACTCTTTCCTTTATCCTTGCACAGGCACTGCCTCCAGCTCTTACTGGGTGACCCATTGTTCCTGTGTTATGGGTCAAGTAAAGTGTGTTATGGGTCAAGTAAAAAGTAAAGAGGGTTTTTACTACAGAGCACCTTTCATAACTTTAAACCCCTCTAACTTGTCTTCTTTAGAGGCTGAATAAAACCTCTTCTTCATAAGCAAGCTCTTTATTGTTGGTCTTGCTGTAATATAACTTTACATATATTTTCATCTTCCATCTCTAGACCTCATCCATCCTTCACAACATGCCAGTTTGGGCAATGTATTAATGATCCATTTGCCTCACTTAACTTGTGTCTGCTAATCAGATCAAGAGTGGGAGACTGGGGGGAGGTAAAAATCCAGGCTATTGGCCTCTGAGTAGCTCCTAGCTGGAGAATGGCTGCCTACCCAGCAAACGGGGCTCAAAGAGGCACAGATGGAGAGAGGTATGGAATAATAAATGTACAACTTCACTGAAAATCCCAAAACAGGGGCTAAATAAAAAAGGAGTATCAGGACATTTAGGAATGGTGAATGCAAATCAGAGAAGCTTCCAATGTATGGGAAATAATGGGGACACTTTATCTTAGTTCACCCCAGATTGACAAGCAGAACAGTTTTTGCTGCATTCCATTCAGCCTGTATACAAGACCTGTCACCACCACTGAACAAAGAGGACAGTCCAATCGACCATCATTGATCTCTTCATTAAACATGACAGCAGGATTTGGGGGCTGACTGAGCAATGGTGTGGCAGTTTAGCAGTAGGAAGATTCCTTCCCCAGTGGCAGCTTTCTGATGTACTCACAATGTTAATTGGAACGAGGTCACTCAGTTCTAGTGGAATTTTGACTAAGCAAAGAAGGATTTCAAAGTATTTCTTTTTTTTTTTTTGGATTATTTTGTGTTTAGCTTTCTCCCTTAAAACAAATAATCATAAAATAGATATTATATATAATAATATATAATGATAGCTCTGTCAACTTGTTTATCACAGTTACAATCTGAACTCATCTCAGCCTTCTTGGGTTTGCTCTGGAGTTTGCTTCCATGTGTTTCCCATGCTCCCCACGATGATCTTTGACATGCACCTTTGTCATGGTAGCTACTTTGCTACTTTGACATGGTAGCTTTTGTCTACCATGCCCTACACAAGCTGGGTCCATTTCTATCTCCTGCATCAACCCAGGTAGCACTGGCTACTTTCCATCAGTAGGAAGAATGATAGAAACTGGGAGGCCCGGTGTCAACCAAAGTTACCTCTTCCCTAAGCCAAAATATTTTACAAATTCTGATTCTTACAGTTCTTACAGTAGCTTTGAAATGGGGCCCAGGAATTTGTATTTTTAACAAGCACACCAGGTAAGACTGGTATACACTGAAGTTGTAGAGTCACTGCTATGTTAAATATGTATCAGAAATGCGGGTTTGGGTGTAAAGTCTTACATAAAATACAGCCTCTTGGCATGCTGGTAGATAATACAGCTTCAAAATATTAAAGAGTAATAACAATAAAAGAATAACTTGTGTCAGTCTGAAAGTACTAAATTTCTCTGTTTTTGGTAAAGTTTAAAAATAAGAAAAACTGTTGTTTCTTATTTAAAAAGCAAGAAAAATTATATTTGAACACAGAATTTTTCAACTTAACACTGTGCTAAGTAGAGAGGAAAGTATTATAAAGGTGGTTAAAATTTCATCCTGGCCCTTTGGGCTGTTTTGGGATCACAGTAGTCCAGGTGGCTAGGGAGGAGTAACATGAAAGACAGTGAGTAATGACACATTAGCATCATACTGTAGACAGAGGCTTGAATACCAAAACCAGGGGTTTGGAGTCTAAAAATGTACATATTATATGATCTGAGGGTTGCTCACCTGGGAAGCGACATGATGCTTTTTTAAAAACAATGGTTCTTAATCTGGACTGGATATCAGTGTCACCCACAGAGATTATTTGGACCTACACAGAGTCTGCTTAATCAAAATATCTGAGAGTGGAGTCTAGGCATCTTTATTTTATTTTTTTAATGTTTCACAAATGACTTTGATACAAAGTCAAGGTTAAGAACTGTTTTAAAAACTCAACTCATTAGTAATGTTGATTTGGAGCCAGGAAGGGGAAGTAGGGAGACCAAAATCAGGATATCTGACTAGAAGCACACTGCAACATTCCTGAAGATCTCAGTCAAGCTTTTCTTGGGACCTACTAAAATCCTGTCTGCTGATTTGCTAATGGGTCATGGGCTACATACAAACTTTAAATTAAGAACCAGAGCTTCCCGGCCTCCATGATGTGCTATTATACAGTAAAAATCCATCTGATAATTTGTCCCTTTTTAAAAGACATCTTGCCAATGAAATCACTTCACTATGAAACAGGGTATCTCCTTGTTTTCATTGTCTTTGGTTTTATAAAATCCTTTGGTATCTGAAAAGCACATGCATCTATTTTTTTTTTTCTTCCGTGTCAACACTGCCTGATTAACAAGGAAGTCTAATTAAAAACTTGATTTAAAGAACAAATGGTGTGGCTACTCACAGCCTGAAGCTGAAGAATCAGGTCATTTTTTTCCTGAGTGAGGGATACTTGCTTTGCTTTCAGTTCCTCCCTCTGAAACTCTGATTTCTCCAAGGCTTTCTGTAATTGTGCACACTCTTCCTTCAGTCCAGCTATTTCTTCTCCTCTTTCTGAAGATTTAACAAGAGGCTTGATCTTGAAGAAGAGCCTCATCCAGGCCCAGTTCTTCACAGCCATGAAAGCTCTTATGTTCCATTGTATCAAAATGAGTGCATCCCTAAATCAAGAGAGAAAAAAGAAAAGCAAGTTAGCCCCGACTATAGGAAAATTCGTTCCCAAATTAAAATCCTCAATAAACACATCTTTTTAGGAGTCATAAAAAATTCTTATTAGTCTTCAAAGCACTTTTATATCTGGACTTTCACTTGATTCTGGCAAAAACTCTCCAAGGGGTATCTGGGGTTAGCAGTATTATGGACTAGATATCCTAAAAATGTTCCCATCACAAACATCCTTTGAATGAGAGCTGAACCTAAAGAGAGTAAGACATATAGAAGGCACCAAAAACTTGAGCAATAAGTGAATGCATGCATAGCTTGGCCATCTTTATGGAAGGAGGAAACAAGTCTTGGTATTGTAAGAGTCTGTATTTTCATATTCACATGGATAAAAAGGCAAGGCACAAACCTCCAAAGAATCTTACCCTTAATAAAAAGGAGGACTGAAAAATTCACCTACCAGCAAAGAGAGATATCAAATTAAAGTACATCTGATTTGGTGTGAGTGAAGACAAATTCTACTTCAGATTTTTTTTAATGATCCAGTACCACTGAATTATTTAAGGTTTAAATTATACTACCTGAATGGTACAGAAATAGCCAAGAAATTAGCACAATGATTTTTTTACTCTGATAATAAATACCTTTTCAACCCTTGGAGTAGGAAAATGCAAAATTACATTGAAAAAAAAAACACCTTAAACCTAAACACCAGAAGTTCTCCTACATAAGGCACCCTGAAGGGGTTAAAATCCAAAGTTACAAAACACATATAGGAAAATGAAGTTGAGCACATATAATAAAAAGTTTGATGAAACCCCCAAGATTTTCAGATAATTGTACTATCTGATGGAGACTATCAAATAATTATGTTAAAAATTATTGACCAGGCTCAGTGGCTCACACTTGTAATCGCAGCACTTTGGGAGGCCGAGGCGGGTGGATCACAAGGTCAGGAGAATGAGACCATGGTGAAACCCCATCTCTACTAAAATTACAAAAAATTAGCCAGGCGTGGTGACAGGCACCTGTAGTCCCAGCTACTCAGAGAGGCTGAGGCAGGAGAATGGTATGAACCTGGGAGGCAGAGCTTGCAGCGAGCCAAGATCATAGCACTATACTCCAGCCTGTGCATCAGAGCAAGACTCCGTCTCAAAAAAAAAAAAAAAAAAAATTATTGTCAAAGGTAAAAAGGAAAGAACTTTAGAAACAATGAACCACTCTGATAAAAGGACATACAGATTTGAAATAAGACCAAATAAAATGTCTAAAACTAAAAAATATAGCAGTTGAAATCAAATACTCAGTGGAAAAATTAAGCAGGTTATTAGAAACACTGGGGGAAAAAAACTAGTGAATTGAGAAAAGAACAAACCCCCACAGCTCCAGACTCCAGGATAGCCCTATAACCTCAGGTTCCAGGCTTGCCCCAGTGCCAGTCCAGACATGTAGCCCCAGACTGCAAGCCTACCCCCAATGACCCAGACTCCAGGACCATCCCGATAATCAGTCTAGTCCCCACAGACCCAGGCCCCAGAACTATCCCCATGGACCCAGTCAATAAGGGTGTTCCAGTAGATCCTAACCACAGACTGACTTTCATGGCCCCAGGATCCAGACATACCCTCACTAAGTCCACTACCATGGACTTAGACACCAAAGCTTGCCCATGTGGATCCAAGATCTAGTGTATACAGCCTCCAAGCTAATCTTCATGGACCCAGGAATTGGGCCTGAATGTGCACTGAAACTGCCACCAAGCCATCATGCCCCAAGACTCCAGCAGCAATCCTGCCAGTGGACACTGCCAGCTGGGCTGCCCAGAATCTCTGACCAAGCTTACTGCTGAAAAGGTTTTCCTGTTGAAACCAGCCTATAAAGACTAAAAGATGTACTACTTCAAATGCACAAACACTAATGTAAGGCCACAAGGATCATGAATAATCAAAAAAATATGACACCACCAAAGGAACAAAACAAAACACCAATAACCACCCCTAAAGAAATGGAGATCTACAAAGTAACAAAATCAGACACTGGAGAAAGCAAGAAATTACAGGTTTCTGAAACAAATACACAAACAAACTGAACAGCTGGAGCAGTGAGGGACGAAGGCCTAAAATCTCTAGCCAAGATGTCTGGTGAAGATCTTGCCCAGTCAAAGCCAGTACATAAATATGGAGGAGGGGGACTACTGTTTCTTCAAATGTACAGACACTTATGCAAAGCTATAATAATCATGAAGAATCAGGAACACACAACAGAATAAAAAGAATGAAACAAACCACCTAGAAACCCACCCTAAATGGAGATCTATGAATTGCTGACAAAGAATTCAAAACAATGATCTTAAAAAAACGTTTAGTGAGCTACAAGAGAACAACTAAACAAAGTGAGAAAAATCATACATGAACAAAAGGAGAAGTTCAACAAAGAAATAAAAACCATAAAAAAGAACCACGTAGAAATTCTGGAATTGAAAAACACAATGACTGGAATGAAAAATTCCATGGAAAGTATAAATGCAATCAAGGGGAAGAATCAGTAAGCTCAAAGGCAGGTCGTTTGAAATTACTCATTTAGAGGAACAAAAAGGAAAAACAAATGAAAAGAATGGAGAATGCCTACAGCACTTATAGGATATCGTCTAGCTTACCAATATATACATTATGGGAGTCACAGAAGGAGCACAGAAAGAGAAAGAAACAGAAAGCTTATTTAAAGAAACAATGACAGAAAGCTTTTAAATCTGGAGAGGAAAACGAACAACTAGATTCATTAAGCCCAAAGAACCTCAAGTAGATCAAATACAAAGAGATCTTCACCAATGCACATTATAATCAAATTCTCAAAAGTCAAAGAGTTTCGAATGCAACAAAACAAAAGTAACTTGTCACATATAATGAAACACTCCTGAGACTATGAGCAGATTTCTCAGCAAAACCTTGCAGACCAGAAGACAGTGGTATGATAGAATCAAAGTGCTGAAAGAAAACAAAAACTAAAAACCACCAACCAGAAATACTGTATCCAGCAAGGCTGCCTTTCAGAAATGGAGAGATAAAGACTGCCACACAAATAAAAACTGTGGGAGTTTATCATCACTACTTGCCTTACAAGAAATGCTAAAGGGTGTTCTTCAAGTTGAAACAAAAGGATGCTAACTAACCACACAAATATATATAAAAGTGTGAAACTCACTGAAAAGACAAGAACATAGTCACATTCAGAATAATACTGTAATAATGGTGCATAAATCACCTTCTACTCTAATATTAGTTAATGTACAAAATTATTTAAAATAACTGTAGCTACAATAATGGATTAATAGATATACAATATTAAAAAATATTAAATTGTGACATAAGTAACATAAAATGTGGGGACAAGATAAGTTAAAATGAAGAGTTTTTATATGTAGTTGAAGTTAAACTATTGCCAGCTTAAAAATAAGAGGTTTGTCAGCTTAAGATAAACATGTAACTACAAGATGTTTTATGTAAGCCCCATGGTAACCACAAAGAAAAAACTTCTAGTAAACATACAGAAGATAAAGAGAAAGGAATAAATACCTAGCATTACAAAATATTATCACATCACAAAGGAAGACAGAAAGAAACAAACAATTTTTTAAAAAGTCATAAAACAATTAAGAAAATGGCAGTAGTAAGTCTGTATCTATTAACAATTACTTTAAATATAAATGAAATAAGTTCACCAATCAAAAGACAGAGTGGCCAAATGAATAGAAAAACCAAACCCAACTATATGCTGCCAACAAGAGACACACTTTAGCTTTGAGAACATACACAGGTTGAAAGTGAGAAATGGAAAAAGATATTCCACGCAAATGGAAATTGAAAAAGAGCAGGAGCAGCTATAGTTACATCAGATAAAATATATATAAGTCAAAAACTGTAACAAGAGATAAAGAAAGTTATTACATAATGATAAATGGGTCAATTCATCAAGATGATATAAATATCTTTATATTTGACAAGATTTAACATCCATTCATTCATCCATCATAAAAATTCTCAACAATGTAGCTATAGAAGGAAGGTACCTCAACATAATAAAGGCCATATATGACAAGCCCACAGCTAACATCATACTTAATGGTGAAAAACTGAAAACTGAAAGCTTTTCCTCTAAGGTCAGGAACAGGACAAGAATGCTCACTCTCAATAGTTTTTTTCGATATAGTACTGAAAGTCCTAACCAGAGTAATCAGCAAAAAGAGGAAACAAAAGCCATTCAAATTAGAAACAAAGAAGTTAAACTATCTCATATAGAAAACACTAAAAACCACCAAAAAATAGAATTAATACATTTGTAAACTTGCAGGATTAAAAAAACACAAAAAATTAGTAACATTTCTATATACTAACAATGGACTATCCAAAAAAGAAGTCAATTCATAATAGCATCAAAAAATAAAATAAAATAAAATAGGAATAAAACTTACCAAGGAGGTAAAAGATCTGCACGTTGAAAACTATAAAACATTGAAAAAAGAAATTGAAGACACAAACAAATGCAAAAATATCTTGTGTTCATGAATTGGAAGAACACAGGATATTTTTGGTTAAAAGTCCATAGTCCCCAAAGTTATCTACAGATTCAATGTAAACCCTTTCAAAATTCCAATGGTGTTTTTTACAGAACTAGGAAAAAATTCCTAAAATTTATATGGAACCACAAAAGACCTCAAATAGCCAAAACAATAGAAACAAAGCTGGAAGAATCACATTACCTAATTTCAAAATACGCTACAAACTATAGCAAAGAAAACAGCAAAGTATTGGCATAAAAACAAACATATAGTCCAATGGAACAGATCGGAGAACCCATAAATCAATCTATGCATTTATGGTTAATTGTTCTTCAATAAAGTTGCCAAAAACACAGTATGGAAAGGACAGTCTTTTCAATAAATGGTGTTAGTAAATTAGATATCCACATGCAGAAGAATAAGTGGATCCTCATTTCACACCATATACAAATATGAACTCAAAAGGAACTAAAGACTTAAATTTAAGATCTGAAACTGTAAAATTACCAGAAGAACACTTGGAGAAAAAGTTTATTGACATTGGTCAATAAATTGCCAACGATTCTTTTTAATGTGACCCCAAAATCAAAGGCAACACAAGCAAAAATAGACAATGGGATTACATCAAACTAAAAAGCTTTTGCACAGCAAAAGAAACTATCAAAAAGGAGAAGACAACCTATGGAATGGGGGAAAATATCTGCAAACTATACATGCAATAAAGGGGTAATATTCAAAATATATGAGGAATTCAACTGTATAGCATGAAAACAACCCCATTAAAAATCAGCAATGACCTGATAGACATTTCTCAAAAGACTACAAATGGCCAACAGTATATGCAAAAATATTCAACATCACTAATTATCAGGGAAATACAAATCAAAACCACAATGAGATATCACCTCACACCTGTTAGAATGGCTATTAATAAAGACAAAAGATAAGGGTTGGCAAGTATGTGGGGAAAGGGAACCCTTGTACACTGTTGATGGGAATGTAAATTGGTACAGCCATTATGAAAAACAGTATGAAGGCTCCTCAAAAAATTAAAAATGGAACTACCATAGGATCTATCAATCCTAAAATACTAATGAAATTTGAATTTTGAAGACATATCTGCACTATCATGTTCATTGTACTATTATTCGCAATAGCCAAGATATGGAATCAACCTAAGTGTTCATTGACAAATAAATAAAGTGTGGCATAAATATATAATGAAATATTATTCAACCTTAAAAAGGAAAACATTGTCATTTTTGACAACATGGGTTAATCTAGAGGACATTATGCTAAGTATAATAAGCCAGGCACACAAAGACAAATATGGTATGATCTCACTTATATGTGGGATATTAAAAAAGTCAAACTCACGGAAGTAGAGGGTGGAATGGTGGTTACCAGCAGCCAGGCCATAGGGAAAATGAGGAGATGTTGCTCAAAGGACACAACATTTCAGTTACGCAGGATGAGTAAGTTCTGAAGATCTAATATACAGTATGGTAACCATAGTTACTAATTCTGTGTTGTATACTGGAAATTTGCTAAGAGAGTAGACCTTAAATGCTCTCACCACACACAAAAGATAACTTCGTAAGGTGAGGATTAATCAGTTTGATTGTGGTAATCATTTCATAATACCTACATATATCAAAACATCAGATTATACACCATATATCCAATTTTTGTCAATGGTAACTGAATGAAGTTGGAAAAAGGAAAAAGAATAAACACAAAGTAGAAGAAAAAAAAGAATAAAGGTAAGATCAGAAATTAATGATCTAGAAAAAAAGTTTAAGTGGTTTATTAAATAGACTAAATAAAGATGTGGCATGAATGGTCAAGAAAAAGGAAAGAAGGCACAAGAAAACAATACTAGGAATGATAATACTCTAGAAATATAAATAATTTAGGATTATGCTCTAGGAATATAATATAGATACAGTAGAGATTTAAAAATAATAAGGCCAGGTACAGTGGCTCATGCCTGTAATCCCAACACTTTGGGTGGCCAAGGCAGGCAGTTAACTTGAAGCCAAGAGTTTGAGACCAGCCTGGTCAAAATGGTGAAACCTTATCTCTACTAAAAATACAACATTTAGCCAGGTGTGAAGACACACGCCTTTAATCCCAGCTACTCAAGAGGCTGAGGCACAAGAATCACTTGAACCAGGGAGGCGGAGGTTGCAGTGACCTGATATCATGCCACTGCCCTCCAGCCTGGGTGATAGAGAGAGAGTCTGTCTCAAAAAATAAAATAAATAAAATAAAAAATAAAATAAAATAAAATAAAATAAATCGATCAAATTGAAAAATTCAAAAGAAATGTAAAATTTCTTTTTCAATAAAAGAAAGCTTCCCTGCACTAATTCAAGAAGAAAATATCTCATTAGACATGTAACCAATAAATAAATTGAATCAAAATTATAAGACCTGTCACAAAAGAACCACCAGATCCAGATTATTTTATTGGCAATGCCTACCAAAGAGTCAAAGACCAGTTATAAACTGGTTCATGTTTTGAAGAGAGAAAACATTCTTCAACTGTTTATGAGGTTAGGATAACCTTGATTCAAATTCAGATAACACAGCAGATGAAAATTATAGGCCAATCTTATTCATGAATATTGATGAAAAATCTCATGATGATATTACAATCAAACCCATCAATGTATGAAAATATTTCTTAACCAAAGTAAGTTTAACTTTTTAAAAAATCTGTTAATATATTTCTACACATTTATAGATTAATTCAGAAAAACCATGTGATTGTTTCAATAGATGCAGATAAATGATTAAATAATTTCCTGATAAAAATGCTTAACAAAATAAAATAGAAGGAATGTCCTTCGTACAATAAGTCATTTCTACAAAAACAAAACAAAACAAAACAAAACAAAAAAAACTACACTGAACATCATTCTTTAAAGGGAAATGATAGCTTTCCCCAAAGTCAGAAATATGAAGACATTTGGCAAAAGTTTCTAAAGGCTGATATACCACAAGTGAGTGAGAACATGGGACAACGGGACTCTCATACATTGCTGGTGGAGAATATGGCATATTAGAAAGCAGTTTGGCAACATCTTGCAAAGTTGAAGTTGTGTGTGACCTAAAACCTATTATTAATTCATGCCCTAGAGAAGCGACACTCAAAGTGTGTGCCTCAGACCAGCTGCTATTCACAAACTGTTATCAGAAAATGGAGTATTTTGAGTAATGATGCCCTCAAGAAACTCTTATATATACGAATGGGGAGACATTTACAAAAATGTCACTGCAGAAGTTACTGGCAAAAAAAAAAAAAAGGAAATAACAAATTTATATTAGCTGGAAAATTGATAAATAAATTATGATATATTCATATAATGGAATACTATACAGCAGTTAAAATCAATAAGCTAGCCCTAGATTCATTAACATCGATATATTTCAAAGAATAATACTGAATATAAAAGACAAACTTCAGGACAATATATACAAAATATTATTTACATGAAGACTAAGCACATGTAAAATCATGTCACATTTTAAGGATATCTGCATATCGAGTAAGCAAAGGTATGAAAACATACTTTTATATGACATATATAAAACATGGAATGAGAGACACAAACTCAGGGTCTGAAAAGGAAAAGGTAAGACTTGGATTACAGCAGAACTATATGGGGGCTTCAACTATGTATGTTAATTTTTTAAAATGTTGTTAGCAATTACAGAAAAAAAATGTTGAGAGTTGGCTGGGTGCCATGGCCCATGCCTGTAATCTCAGCACTTTGGGAGGCTGAGGCAAGAGGATTGTTGAACCCAGGAGTTCGAGACCAGCCTGGGCAACATAGGGAAACCCTGTTTCTACAAAAATAAAAAATTAATAACGTTAAGAATTGAAATGCCTTCATGATGACTCCATGAGTATGTATTATAGTATTTTTTGTATTTTTTATTTGCTTGAGATCTTTCAAAGTAATTTTTAAGTCACAATTTAGAGAGAATGGATCATAGAGGTTTCACTTCAGACATTAAGAAAGTAAACTATAGAGAAATTAAGAATCTTACCCAAGTTTACACAACTGGTCCTAGAAGCCATGTTTCCTGACCCCCAAACTCCCATACCACACTGACCACTATATGAGAGTCACAGAAGACCCTTAAGAGTCATCTCTCTATTATCTTTGACATCACCATGTAATAACCATTTTCTCTTGGGAAAAAACAGAATTAACAAATTGTCAATTAAACAAGTTACACCAAGATCTGTAGACCTCTCTTCAGAAGACAATATATGCTAAGGGAAAAATAAATACAACTTCAGCATCCCTTGCTCACAGTCCCTTTGTTTGGAGATTTTGCTAGCTTGCTTTCCATGATTCTATTAAACAACAGACAAAACCAATGCCTAAGAATGTACAAGCATGGTGATAAATGTCCCCAGTGAATCTGTCTGAAATAAAGTAAGAAAGTTATGATTACATGTCAACAAGAGCCACAGTTTCTGACCCACGGGACGTAACAAAGGAGTCAGAACACCTCGGTCTTTGAAGCATACTTCCCCACAGAGTTGGCTGTGGGATATATGCAAACCTTTCCAGGTCTGCTTCTGATATAAATTGTGAGTCGCACCACTCTCGGAGATCCAGACTTCTCAGAATATAAAAATCTCTCTCAAAGGGAAGCCTGAAAGCATGGCAAGAAATATCTGAATTATGCCTATACTTGGTTGAATAGAGCAATAAAAGCCCTTTGCACTCTGTCTTTTTGTTATATTATGATTTAAAAATGTTTAAGACCCAGCCTAACCAGAGAAGGCAGTTCTTGACCTACTATAAGACAATGAGATTAGTTGCACTGGTTAAGGCACACTATTACCCTAGCAGTGGGGGTGCAGGGTGGGCATACAATACCTTTCTTCCAGAATCTTCTGGAATTTGATTCGCATCAGTTTGCCCTGTGCTCTGGCTTGGAACAATGTGAAGACTTTAGATAGTCTCTCATCTCTCATTGCTTCCAGTTGACCCAGAAACCCAGCTTTAAAAAACACCTAAAAGAAAAGTCAGATGTTAGCTCCACTCATAATGGGTATTCAGCAAATGTTTATTGAATGATCCTGTGAGCAACTGTTGTGTTCCTAGGGATAAATGTATCAATTCCATTTCTTGTAAGTTTTATTTAATGTGTAAAATCTACACCCTAGAAAGTTTGATTTTATAAATCTAAAATGTGAAAAAAAAAACATGTTATTAAATCATGTGGTTCTATTGTTTGCTTAAGAATGTAAACTATTCTTCCCCTTATCTATTAATGATGTCTCAATTGTTCAGGGAGCCTGGTTTAAGTTTTAAGGTGGGTTCAGGCCTGCAGTGCTCCAAAGTACCACGTAGCGCTCTGCAAACATTTTCTGTATGAATCAGATAGTAAATATTTTTAGGCTTTATGGACTACATACAATCTCTTTAGGATATTCTTGTCTTTTAAACAATTCATGAACCATCTAAAACCATTTTTAGCTAGTGGACAATATATTAAAAATAGGACCAGGCTCTTGGGCCGTAGTTTGCTGACGTCTATTCTAGAGTAAGCCACTTTTGTCTAAGGCATCAAATAATCCACAAAAATATTTTTTCAAGAATAATTACTAACAAACAAGGTGAAATGAGTGTGGTGCCTAAGGCACACATTTTATGGAGGCACTAAGTGTGAGAGTGCCCTGAGAGTGTGTGCCTCTCAGCCTCACTTGCTCAACCCTGAGAATGAAAGCCTCTTTGAAATTTGTGCCTTAGGAGCTTCACTTGCCTCATGTCAGTCTTGGCCCAGAGGAGTAGTATACAGCAAAAATAACTAAACACACAAGGAAGGAAGGCATCATCAGTGAAAATCAGCAGAAACAATAAACAGCAGAAACTGATTCCCAAGTACTCAAAATGTGGGAGCCAGCGTTTTATAACCATATACTACAGAATTCTAATTCTATGAGGCCTTTATCCTGAATTTTCCAACTCTCCTTCAAACAATTTGTTCCTCATATGGATGTCATTATGAACAAACTGACGTTGACTGCCAGATAAGACCAAATCTATTGATTAGTTAGAAGTTTCCCAAAATATGTGAATCCCAAGCTCATCTAAGATGAAGTAGAATTTAGGGAATCACATTTAAGGAAATTGGTTTTGGATTAATTTTTTTAATAGTGGGTTACCTTTGAAGTTTTAAATTACTCAGAGAAATTAGTCCCTAAAAGAATACTGTCCCTAAAAGAATATTGCGGATGAATCAGTTCACACATAGATAAGCCATTAGCTCTAGGAAGTCAATTCACCTTTTTCCAGCTCTGATATATACACATTTTCTCACAACACCAGGTTGATTCAGTATTTTATATCTTGGCACAAATTTGCTTAGATGACTAATTATAAAAATGTAAATGTAGTCAAAACTGAGGTTTAAAAAACATTGAATATTTTTCTCAAACAGCACTGAAGTTTTCACCTTCAACTAAGATCTATTTGTGTTATTTATGGTCATGACAGCTGAAGAATGCCTTATAATTGAACATTCACAGGTATTTTAAGATACACACTCTTCCCCCCATTCGTCTCCAAATGCATTCTTTGCAGTTTTCTGGTTACCTTAGTGATTCCAAATCGGTACTGGGTATGGTCTATCTTCAAGGAGCCAAGTAATTCTTCAGCTGCTTTTCTGCTGCTCACAAACTTGCTCTTTGGAAAGGTCCTTGGATTCAGAATGCAGTACCTAATTTAAAATAAAGAAAAAATCCTGGGGTTGGGAAATCATATTATTCAAATAAAGACTAATCTAGACAAATGAGGTGAAAGGAGATATAGATTTTTATCTCTGTTATTAATACGTTCAATTTTCACAAAATTCTTAGTAACAATAATGAGGGTACAAGCAATAATCCCTTGCATTGGTATAATAGTTTGTACTTTTCATATTGCTTTAGAAGCAACCTCATTTGATTGATTGCTCAATTAGGCAGGGTTGGGATTGGAAGAGGAAAGAGAGGGAGGGAGGAAAGCATAAGTATCTCTACTGTATGGATAAGGAAACTGAAAAGCAGAGACATTAAATGTCTTTTCCAGGATTCCTTCACCCTGTTGGTGAGTTGGTGGAAAACAAGAAATATGCCTCTTAATTCTAAAGCAAGAAATATGCCCCTTTTTACTCTACCAGACTTTGCTCAAATTGACTTGATGACCTATAATTTAAACTTCTAGAATCCAGGAAATAGAAAAGATGCCACTCCTGCCTCCTGCCATATACCCTGCTGGCTTCCTTCCTTTCAGGGGCTTGCTAGTAAAGCCACAGCGTGCTTGGATGGCAGCTACGATTAAGTATACAGAACATTTCAGAGACTCAATTCAGCCTCCATATGTTTCTTCTGTATTTATTTCTTCTATATGTGGGTCTATTATCTGTTAATAGAGATTTAAGGATATTACAGTTACATGGATGTTGGATTTAAGGGGAAATAATAATGGAACTCTGTCATCATATATCTTCCCACCACCAAAACACATCGATCTGTAGTCTGGAGGATATCAACCAAACAAACAATGCATGCCTAAACACTCGGAAAGGGAGGAAAACAGAATGAACTGCCTCAGGCTTCTTGGATCCTGGAAAGTATGTTTACCTTTGTTTAAAATCAGCATACTGCAGTCGGTTTGGAAAACCTTCACGGCATATCCTAATCCCTTCCAAGACACCATTACAGCGCAACTGCTGTAGAACCAAGTAAGGGTCCAATATACCTGGAAAAAAAAAGAGTCACGGTGGATCTGTGCCTGAAAAAAAATTATTGGCCCAGATTTTGTACCAATTGCTGCATCTTGGGTTAAAAGAAAAGTCTGAATTGGATAGTTTCCACATGATAGGTCATAGGAGTTCACTCACTTATGGCCTGATAGTACTCACAGTAATCATCCTATTATGTAGGCATCTCCAAATATGATTTCCCTGAAATTCCTTTAAAATGGAACATGCCCCTTAATTCACAGTTAGATGAGATGTTTCTAAGCAAATATTCTTGGAAGGCAAAAAGATTACATTTTTTGCTAGAATGTAAATGGCTGGTCTCACGTTCATTTGCCAACCAAAAACCAGCCAGAAAGGGTGATAAGAACACAAAAGAGAACTGCCTTCTCTGCGCAGGATGGGGAAGGGATAAGAAGAAGGAGGAATAAAAGGAAAGGGGAAGACGGACACAAGCACAACATTCTGTTTACAGTTGTGCTTAGGAAGGACTTGTCCACATGCCAGACTTCATTCTCCCCTTATTTTCATGAGAGTGCCTACGTCCTATTCTGTAGTATAAGCATCCTTCTGCCACCTTCTCGTTCATCAAAAGAAGCTCTACTGTAGCTGTCAGCTGCAATCTCCAATAGAAGCCTTTGAAAAACCATCCAAGAAGCCACTGTCCCTGCCCTCAGAGAGTCTTCTGAAACAAGCCAAGGACCACATCTCCTATCACAAATTTCTACTACGGTATTACATGAAAAATGAAAACAAAAAAGGACTCCATGCCCAAGGTCACAGAAATAAACTTAAATCATATACCCATATTTCTACACTCCAATCTCTTTCACAGACAGAAACAGATAATCTATAAGAAGGCAAAAGTAGGCCAGCACAGCGGCTCATGCCTGTAATCACAGCACTTTCGGAGGCTGAGGCGGGCAGGTCACTTAGGGCCAGGAGTTCAAGACTAGCCTGACCAACTTGGCGAAACCCCGTCTCTACTAAAAATGAAAAAATTAGCCAGGCATGGTAGTACATGCCTGTAGTCCCAGCTACACAGGGGGCTGAGGCACAAGAATTACTTGAACCCAGGAGGCAGAGGTTGTGGTAAGCTGAGATCGTACAGCTACACTCTAGTCACTACACTCTAGCCTCAGGGACAGAGCAAGATTCTGTCTCAAATTGTTACTTTTTTTAAAAAAGGGGAGATACAGGGAGTAGAATCCTATGACACCTTAACATCAGACTCACTCATTCTCTTTAAGTACATATAAATAACTGTTTTGATTAGATCATGAAGCTTTTCTTACGACTTTGTCTTATGACTTTAAGAAAAAAACCAAACCTGCTGAAATCCAAGTTGACTCCATGGGAAGCAACTCTAATAGGTAACAGAATTGCTCCAAAATAGAACACAGCTAATTAGATTCCTTGCTAGATGGAAGCACTGTCCCTAGACACAACCAGAAATCCAGCTGATAGGAAACAATGAGGCAAAAACATACAGCCGTGAATGAACTTGAAGTGTTTGTATGGCAGAAACTCTAAGGGCAACATCATTGTTTTGTATCAGACTTTCCCAAAATAGGCCATAGTGTGTCAGGATTGGGGTCTTAATTACAGAAGGTTAGTAAAAATGCAAGATACTAAGGAACCTCAGAAATCAGAACCAGCAACATCTGGCTACATATTATAAAGGTGGTTAGTGCTCTAAAGACTTAGGGCTTGTCATATACACTCCTTGGAGGCCGACAGCCTCCAAACCAAGCTCCAGAGGGGCCTGTAACTCCAAAGAGATGGCTGGGAATCTTCAAGCTCATGAAGTAAGGAAAGCAATCCATGTAGTTATTTTTGGTAAAACTCTTGTTTGGGGAATTGAAAACATAAAAAAAAAAAAAAAAAAAAAAAATCACCAACATCCACCTATCACATCATCCCCCTACAACTATTCACTGATCAAAATATATCCACTGCCCAGAATTACATAACTATAAAAAACAATGCTATTAGAAAGAGGGAAGAAGATGTTGGCATTGGCAAGGAGGACTAGAGGGTGTTCTCAACAATTAGAAATGGATTTAGGAACTGTCTTTATGGTCAATTTAGATAACTCAGACCAAATAACTTCCTTTATGCTGAAATATCTACCTTAATCCCGTAATTGATTATTCAATTCCCTTTTTATTATAGTTTGCCCTTGTAGACAATGGCATGGGAGCTCATCCATGTTCAGCATAAAATTCAAGGAGGAATTTAAATAGTAATATCAAACATTCTAATGTTGCCCAATTGAGACTGCTCTGTGAAATCCTTCTGTATGTCCATTTCAATGGCAATATTGAGGAGGTTCCAAAGACCTCATTTTTAACATATTTTCATTTTTCTATACAAAATTCTACCCTTATATAAAAGGCACCAATAAATATTTCTTTAAAAGATATTCCATATAGCTAATATCAAATCTATTTCCTAGAGTAAATTACAAAGAAATCTAGTTCTTACCCGGCATTTTATTCACATTGGGATTTATGCATCTCACAAAATGAGGTGCTGTTGATTTCAGATTAGTCATCAATTTATTCAGGTTTTCCTAAAATGGAGACCATAATAAACATAAAATCACTTTGCAAATCACTAAAAACACCAATCCACCTCACAAATGTCTCCAAATCTATCAACTCACTCTCACAGCCAAGATGTATTCTAACAGTAAAATAATGAATTCAACATTCTTTCCTGCTTACCCAATGCACGTTATTTCTTTCCTATGGCAAGTCAATATTTATTTGACAGACATAGTTCAATTGTGAATCATCTCTACCTATTTTGAATTTGATAGCAGTGTCAAAGTTATGGCTGGGCAATAAAATGGCTTGAAAAAAGAAATTGTTTCTCAAGTTCTGTCTCTGTGGAAAACCTTTATCTTAGGTTAGATTCTCTAGAAGCCAAACCTGAGATGGGAATTCTGGTTTGAGAGATTTTTAGGGAGTGAAGAAAGCTGGGAACAGTAGGGGAAGAGAAAAGCAATGACTCAGACTCAGCTTTAGTCTGATCCTTGCAAGCAAGAGCTGTAAACACAAATGCACCAGTTGCACTATAGGTGGTCCCCCTTGAGGCAGGGGAGAGGCTAAAGTCTGGAGAGGAGGGCAGAGAGGCAGCTTAGTTTCCCCTTTCACTAAGTGCAATTCTGACAACTCAGAGTTGTTATGAGCCAATATGCACATCAGCTGGAAGATGGGTGCAGGGATGATAAAGGGGTTGTAGGTGGGAATCAGCAAAAAATAAAGCCCTTAATTATAATAGCATAAACTTCAACTTTTCCAACTTGCTCATTCCTGATACTTTATCCTTATTTGAGGATGTGAAATGTCAAATAAATAATAACACATGCAGATTGTGAGGCAATTAATATATGAATAGATGCAATTAAAAATTACTTTATGCAGAGATGCAGCTGTTTGGAATGAAGTTCCTTTCTTTCGTTTCTTTTCCCCAAATGGTATAGCTAGCAAAAAAAAAAAAAGATGAAAACATGTAAAAAGCTCATTTTTGTCACATTATCCTACCTCGCTGATGGAAGCATAAACTCATCAGAGTTCTAGAACAATATGGCAATATCTACCAAAAGCTTCAAAATATGTATGTCTTTTATCACAAAATGTATATTTTTAGTGCTTTTCCTTAAGGATATAATCAGGCAACTGTGCAACAATACTCACTGAAGCATTATTTAGTCACTGCAAAAAAATTAAGCAAAAACAAAGTTAATCCACAAATGCACACCATAGGAGATTAATTTATGAGAGAATATGCATACAGCGAAACACTGTAAGCTTTTAAAATGATGACGTGGATCCATATAACTTATATGGAAAGATTTCTAGGATATTTTTAGAGAAAAAGTTTGTTTACAAAGCCTAAATTTTATATATGATGACCTTCAGTATGTATACATGTTTTTAAGTGCAGCTGTGTTATGGGTGACTATAAACATGAAAAATGTTGGGAGGTGTAAATACCAAAATGTAAATAGTCGGTTAATCTATATGAGGTTACAGGTAATTTTTATGTTCTTTTTTCAGTTTTTCTATATTGTCTGTGCTTTTAGCTACATTCATGTATTTATATTCATGATTTATAAAAAATAATAAGTCTATTTCCATTTTCTTGAAGCAAAAGAACCTGTGCTAGGCCAACCAGCTTTATAAACATTTGAATAATGCTAAGTCACTAAGATGTGCAACCCAGCAACAACAAAATCCATAGGCAAGTTGGACAGAATAGGGTAGCTATCAATATGGAAAACTAATAAAATATTCTCTGTGCCTGAGTATCAACTGTGCAGTGGCAGATGTCATGAAGCTTAATCACTAATGTTGTTTTGAAACACCCCAGGTCTCTCAGTGAAACTCTTGACTTCTTCGTACTTCAGTTTTTCCATCCATGAAAAGGGAATATTTCATTAATTTTTAAAAAAGAATTATAACCCTGGTTTAAATTATTTGGATTCCCCGGGAGAAAGTATGGTTATTACTAGCAATTTAAAGTTTGGATCCATCAGAAACTTGGAGGCAAGTATTTTCAGAGGGTGTTTTAGAATTAAAAAAAAAAAAAAAGGCCATTCTGAACAATTCTTGTCTTTTAGTTCCTAAGAACACAGTACACACCCTGAAGAGTTAGAAGACGATTTCTCCTCTAATTCTCTGCCCAAACCATTCACTGATCTCTTATGATCAGAGAATTACTCAACTGGGAGTCATAAGCGTATGTGGCTACTATCAAACAGACTTCTCAGAGGTACTTTAGCAGCTATTAGAATCAGGCAAATGTACTGCCTGAACATTAGCCGGGTCCTGACACAATAGCTTCCATCTCTTCTTGAGGCAGGCCCAGAGGATTTCAGGCATGTTCCAGAATTATGTCATCATGTGCTGATAAAGCCAGAAAGTGCTAAATTTTCTCTCCATTCCCTATGTCAGTCAGGAGAACCAATCAGCCTGATAGGGGCTGGGAGTTAACATGCAGCTGGGTGTAAGATAACAGCAGGGTATGTTTGAAAGTGAGAGTACGCACCCCATTTAAAGAACAGTTGGTGTACTGTTGCCATGGGGAAATCAGAACCCAGGCTGGCTAGATTATCTATTTCCCCAGAATTTCCATTTTTCAAAAGAAAACGGAAACTCAAATGTGTATGTGAAATCTGATTTTTTAAATTTGTGTGGACCAAACAAAACGTGTTTGAAGGCTAGTTTCTGCTCAGAGGCTGTCGATCTGTGACTTTTGCTGTAAATCGTGGAGAGCTTCCCTCTGTGTGTAGGTTAGCATTTACTTCAGTGAGGCTGGTGTTAGCAACTTTGGCTTAGTATCTTCAAATCCATCATATGATGGTGCGGAAGTTTTCACTGCATCCTAAATGCGGTGATATGCATTAACTTCTCTTAAGTAGCATCCCTGATTTTACAAATCTACTATATGGCAAAGCCTAGGTAGAAAGATAGAAACACTGTACATATCTTAAAGTGTCATGGTAAGAAATGAGTAAGATAATGTATCTAACAGTACTTTGTAAATTACAAACTACTAAACAAGATTAGTTGTCAGAATAGAATGCCTGCTAAACAGGTATTTGCTGCATGCTAGAGGCTACAGTTGAGCAAGTCAGACATAATACCTGCCTTCACAAAGCTTTTAATAAGTGCACAGAGTGCTGTGAAAGAGAATATTTCAAGATATTTGGGGCAATAACTATATAACTATATATATATGTATATATATGTAACTATATATATGTGTATATATGTATATATATAGTTATATAGTTATTTAGATATTTGGGGCAATAAGTTATTGCCCCAAAATCATTCATCAAAACATGTTTTTTGTTTTCCCTTTGTAGCTAGGTGAAGTGGAAGACAAAAGCAGGCCAGGAACAGACTTCTTGAATCTATCTTAGAGCACTAGTAACATCTCCCTGAAGAATCCCCAGCCTGAAGACAGAAAGACTAATAAGAGAGGACGACTCAGACCACAGGGAGCAGAAACATATCACAGGAAAGAAGCAAGAATTTTTGTAAAAGCTGAGGCAGCCATGGGTTCCATTCTGAGGCTGAAAAATCAAGGAAGATTGTATGACTCACCACTGTCAGTACTCATGTAATTTTCAAAAAGGCTCGCCAGGAGTCTGTTGGAAGACTTCTGAAATACAGCTACCACTGTTTCATTAAGGAGGTCTTTGTTCTTTTCCAGCCAACCACTGATATTATAAGGTACCTTTGGAAAGGCATGCATTTCAGGTAATAAAAAGAAAAAATATTGCATAAGTTAACATAGAAGGCTGTGCATTACCTTTTTTTTCTTCTTCTTTTTTGAGACAGGGTCTCATTCTGTTATCCAGGCTGGAATGCAGTGGTATAGTCACAGTTTGCTGTAGCCTCGACCTCCTGGTCTTAATCAATCCTTCCCCCTCAGCCTCCAGAGTAGCTGGGACTATAGGCACATGCTGCCATGGTTGGCTATTTTTTTTTTTTTTTTTTTTTGTATTTTTATTTATTGTGCGTGTGTGGAGATAGAGTTTCCACATGTTGCTCAGTTTGGTCTCAGACTCCTACGGCCCAAGCAATCCACCCATCTCAGCTTCCCAAAGTGCTGGGATTACAGGGAGCCACCATGCCCAGCCTGTGCATTACTTTTAATAAATCACAAATTATGTGGGTCCTTTACCTTTAAATCAGTTTAAGGTAATAGTACTGAATAACACTCCAAAAGTCCACTGGGCATCCCAAAAAGATTCTCAAGATTCTTATCATTAACATTGTCAAAAGAAAGGAACAGACAGGATGGGAAGAAGGGAGAGAGATAGGGGAAGAAGTAGGAGAGAGGAGAGATAAGAATGGGGAGAGAGAGCAACAGAGAGGAAGGAAGGATTGAATGGTATTTCACCCCATCAGTCCTTTAAAGGCAAGAATGATAAAATAATCCAACTGTCTCTGACACACAGTGAACACTCAAAAAAACCTAGCAATTGCAATGGTATTTTACTGTATATATCATTATAATTAATATGCCAGGATATCAAAGAAGAGAACTATAAACATATCTGTGTACAGCTGGCAGGCCATTTTCAGGTCAAAGTATTATTTTATCCTTTATCAGTTCTCTTTTTGTTCCACCCAGAATCACCATCCAGAAGTAGAAGTGCAGAAAAAGGGGCATATACGCCGGTGAGGAAATGAGGAGAGGTGGCAAGAGTCATCAGAAACCTTTTTTGGCCATAGTTTGGAGACCATTACTTCACGTTGACTATTTCTTTATGGGAGAATAAAAAAATCTTCAATAAAAAGATCAATTGAAATCACTCATTCACACAACGTTAAGTTAAAAGGAAGGACAAATGGGGAGAAACTATGACTTTGATGGTCTCCATGCCTTTCTGAAGCTGCCTTGCTTTGAGTTGAGGTTGACAGAGTCCATTTGGAGATTTTTGACCTCTGTGCACATGGAATGCTATTGTAGTATGGCCATTTCATTTCCTGAGTGCTAAATGGTTACACTACCTTTTTTGTGGAACTGAGATGTATTTTGTTCTTCTCTTCATTTAATCTAAACATTACTTAAATATCATCTAAGGGCTTTGGCTGAGCATATTTGAAACAAAATCAGGAAAATTCAAGACCGGGGGTCCGGAGGTAACTCACCACTCCTGCATAATGGACAAGTTCGAAATGAGCTTCAAATTTCTTCTTATCAGGCTTGGGCTTCTGGAGATGAACCGACTTTCCAAAATGGTTGTCAAAGAGTTTGGTCTTGAAAGTCAGGTCTGTAGCCTTAGGAAACATACACTCTTCTTCAAGGATGGAAAAGATGCCCATTGGCTGTTGAAGAGACATAAGAGCAGCAGATTTTTTTAAAAAACACCTGCACTTTCAGTAGGGGGTCAGTATAAATTATTTCGCAGGAACCCAATCAATTGACAAAGGGAAGAATATTCACTGCATAAAACTAGCAATCATCTGTTGGGAACAGGTCCTCCAAAATCTGGCCATAAACTGGCCCCAAAACTGGCCATAAACAAAATCTCTGCAACATTGTGACATGTTCATGATGGCCATAACACCCATGCTGGGAGGTTGTGGGTTTACAAGAATGAGGGCAAGGAACACCTGGTCCACCCAGGGTGGAAAACCGCTTAAAGGCGATCTTAAACCACAAACAATAGCACAGCGATCTGTGCCTTAAGGACATGCTCCTACTGCAGATAACTAGCTAGACCCACCCCTTTGTTTTGGCCCATACCTTCGTTTCCCATAAAGGATACTTTTAGATAATCTAATATCTACAAAAACAATGCTAATGACTGGCTTGCTGTTAATAAATATGTGGGTAAATCTCTGTTTGGGGCTCTCAGCTCTGAAGGCTGTGAGACCCCTGATTTCCCACTTCAAACTTCTATATTTCTGTGTGTGTGTCTTTAATTCCTCTAGCGCCGCTAGGTTAGGGTCTCCCTGACCAAGCTGGTCTCGGCAATCATCCATTCAACAAATATTAATTAAATATCTGCTACTTAACACGCTTACCAGTACCTGCTGGTGATTGATGCAGCTGTGAGCCACATACACAAAGTGCCTGTCCTCAGGGTGCATATGTTCTAGTAGAGTGGCAGACAATAGGCAAGTAAACAAAGAAATAACTCCAAAAAACAAATGACTTAGTTTCATATAAATGCTCTGAAGAAAACATTCAAAGTAATGAAATAGAGAATGACAGGGGGTAAGGAGGTTTTAGATAGAGTCATTGGGTAAGACACTTCTGAATGAAAACAACAAGCTGAGAAGATCTGTGCACAAGTATTCCAGGCAGAAAAATGAAGAATGCAAAGGCCCCGAGGCCAGAGCCCACTTGGCAAGTCTGAGGTCCTGCCAGAGGCCAGTGTGGGCAGAGAAAAGCTAGCTTGATGGAGTACATGTTAAGAGAGAATATCAAAGAGGTAAGTAAGTAGTAGCTGGATCTCAAAGGCCTTATAGGCCGTAGTAAGACATGTGGCTTTCATTTTAAATGTAATAGGAAACCTTTGGAGACTTTTTAAATGAAGTGCTGTGATTTGATTTATGCTTAAAGAGGATCATTGATTTAGAAAGTAGGGCTCGTGGGCTCAGTGCTGCCTGCACTCTGTACTGGAAAGCCGATGAGCTAAGAATGGCTTTTACATTTTTAAAGCGTTTTTAAAAAACAAACAGGTTGAGTGAGGTGGCTCACACCTGTAATCCCAGCACTTTGGGAGGCTGAGGCGGGCAGATCACCTGAGGTCAGGAGTTCGAGACCAGCCTGGCCAATATGGTAAAATCCTGTCTCTATTAAAAATACAAAAATTAGCCCGGAATGGTGGTGTGTGCCTGTAATCCCAGCTACCCAGGAGGCTGAGACAGGAAAATCACTTGAACCTGGGAGGCAGAGGTTGCAGAGCCAGATTGGGCCACTGCACTCCAGCCTGGGCAACAGAGAAAGACTCTTGTCTCAAAAAACCAAACAAACAAACAAAAAAAATGTTACTGCAAATCTCATGAACTCCATTAGCACACTTTTTCTCTAAAGGACTGTATAGTCTCTCTCAGACCTTTGCTATGCACTTAGTCATTGAAGCACTGAAAGCAGCATGCAACAACCTATAAACAAAATGAGTGTGGCCATGCTCCCATCAAACTTGATTTACCTAAACAGGCTGCAGGCTAGACTGGGTCCACAAAGTCAGTTTGCTGATCCCTGATCTAGAGTAGTGGTAGTGTTGGAGCTTATGAGAAGTCATTAAAAATAAGATATGCATTGACTTTAGAGCTGAATGCCAACTTGCTGATGGAGAGAATGTGGTGTGTAGGAAAATTTTATTGCATCATATAGCACATAATTTTTTAAATGCATTTTTTACATTTATTAGACTTACAAATCCTTTACTTGACTGCAAATTTCCTGAAGGCAAAAGCTATTTATAAAAAATGCTTATATTTCTCTACAGCATTCTATACAGAGTCTTATATACAGTTGTGTGGTAAGAGGCCTAAAATTAAGGCCCAACATTATGTATGCCTTGGCATCTGGGAAAAACCAGGAGGGGCTCAAAAGTTCCCTTTCTGTTGTGCTCCCATGTGTTATGTCCCTTAGCCAAACACTCTCCTTATGGCAGGGACCATGCATAGTGCCTGCTTATCCCTGAGTAATGGGTTTCATTTCTCTATCAGCCCATGAAATTATTCAAACAAGCCTATCGCACCCTCTTGTAGAATTCTACTGTCACGTCACCTATAATTACTACAAAGTCTGCCTCCCACAGCCCCTGCTTTTTCACTCTTTTCTCAGCACAGCCCTTCTGTGGCCCTGCATGGTTCAAGGTGTACCCCCTGCAGGCTGTGAGCATATGTGGCTACTAAAATGCTGGTCTCATCTGTCTAGTGTTGAATGTCACATGTCCAGCCTTTCCCATAAACCTAGGGCAGGATTCCCTCCTTCAGCAAAGGGGTGAAGAGGAAGCAACCAAAACAAATAGTTGCAAAGTAGACTTACTTGTTGGTTTTAAAAAAAGTAAAAGCCTTTGTTTTAAGGCTTATTTCCAATAATACTAGAAGTTCCTGGAATGCCAGGATGATGCCTTCTGGGGTTTGCACATCATAACCCTTATCATAGTAGGCCCTCAGCACAATTCTGCTAAGTAATTAATTGACAGGTGAACCCTGAGACATACAGGTCTAAGTTCTGGGAACTTGACTGCTTTGCTGTGATCAATTATCAAACAAAATGTAAGAGTTGCCAATCAAAAAAAGCATGGAGGTATGTGTTTAAAGAAAATACTCATGTGCATACAAGAAACAACGAGATATTAATATGATTTCATTTTATATTAAAAACACCAAGAACGAACACATCTGAAAAGTTTCCCTTGGGAGGTGATAACACATAATGCCAAGATGCTGCCAGTAGTTAAAATATTTTAGAACTTTCCTTGGGATACCTGATACTATTAACTACTGACATCAAAAATTCCTATTGTCTGATGGAATATCATTATATATTATTCAGGTCAAGTCAGGCCAATAAAGTAAATAATGTAATCAAACTAGGCAGTGTAGTTTGGACTCAAAAACCAGTGAATGAAAAGCATTGAAGCAAATTTTCTCTTGAGGCTGGTAAAATTCTAAAATCTATTCTAATCCCAATACCGTGAGAAATTTTCCAAAGAGCTAAATTATTGGAAGGAGTATGTTGCCTTCTAGGGTGTTTACACCAAATAGTAAGTTTTTAAATGTATAATTTGGAGAGTATTTATTAAGAAATAATAGGGAAAATCTCTTTACCAATGCCTTATGTATAACCATAAATATGTCATTATATATTAATACTTTAGTATGTAAATTATTAATGCACAAGTTCTAAACAAACTAGAATATTTCAAGTAATAAAATATGAGCAAATCCTATAATAGATTTGTTCACAGCATAAATGTGAAAGGAGGTCACTATAAACTTGAAGACCAAATTAACAATTAAAGTTTGTGTTAGAATACATTTTTTATTTTAGTTTGATATAAACTTTTTTTTTTTTTTTTTTTTTTTTTTGAGACAGAATCTCACTCTGTTGCCCAGGCTGGAGCGCAGCAGTGTGATCTCGGTTCACTACAACCTCCACCTCCCAGGTTCTAGCTATTCTCCTGCCTTAGCCTCCCTAGTAGCTGGGACTACAGGCACCTTTTTGTACAAATATGAAACTTTCATGTAATGAAAATCCTTTTTTCTTATACGTATACAGAGATGCATGCTATACAACATTTTATACACATTGATGTGTTTTAGTTCTTTCGAATTTTAAAAACATCCCATGATGCATTTTATTTCAAGGACTGAGTTTGATCATTAATATCTGCTACAAATCTTCTTCAGATAGCCCCAACCAACATAATGGGTCTTTTCAAAATTTAGAATCTTTTCAAGGAAGTCTTTGGTATTTTCATTTGCCTGACCTGGATCCTGTTAAAATTGTTTGTCGAAAACCAAAGACGTATCTTTTCCTTTCATCATCTGGTCAGTAATTTTTTCTCATTTTATTATATCAGTAGAAAATACAACAGGAAATTACATCCATGATGCTAGTGTGTTATTTGGAATAACCAAGACTGGCACAAATGAGGCAACAGACTTCAGATCAACTAAAAATCAGTAACATTCACAGAACTTGTCAGGATCTGAACGTCTATGTCCACGTTCCTGCCTGGAAACAGTATCTTGTGATAATCAAAGTGAGTATATATGATAGGTGACAATTGCCAGGAGCTAAATCTGTCCCTCTGAGGACCTCCAGTTCTTTTGTTTCATTTCTAATCAGACAACTACAGCTTTTATAAGGCCAGAATACATTTACCAGATCATGGTTGGTTCATGCTTATTACTATTTTTAATCAGCTCATGGTTGATTCATTATTATTATTTTTTAATCAGCCTGTCTTTCCCCCAGGAAGTTAACTTGTTATAAAATAAATAAAATCAATGGGATATCTACTCCCGTTGGAAATAATAGTTATTTTCGAAAAGATCTAAAGTCTAATAAATGAAATTGATAGGACACAGATTGATAAAACCTGAGGCTTGCAAAGGACAGGGAAAGGTCAGTTGCCCTAGCTCCTTCCTAGCAGGATTGTTGAGAATCAACTGTGACAGTATAGCTGGAGTTTTCAGGAAATTAAAGGCTTCAGACTGCCCAGATCCATCTTCAAGATTCACCGCAATCCACGATTATGGCGAAGCCCAAGAGGCATGTAACTGCTAACATGCCGCCATGCTTGCTCTCTTGGAGAAAGCCACAGAAAGGACATACATAATTCCCCAGCAAACCCCGCTTATCTTTCCCAGAACATGCAGAAAGATTTCAGAGTATTGGGATATCACCAAATTCAGAAACCGTACACTGCAGCTAATTTACTAATAAACCATGACGTACTGTCATAAATTACTTTAACTGGTACTTGTCCAATTAAATGAACAAACTACATCCTGCAAGGTAGTGGCCTTGAGGATTGATGGCAGTTGTTTGTTTGCATGCTAATTTGCCAAATTTCGTTAAGCTGCTCTGGGTCTACTCATTCACCTTATGTTAATCAGTCAGGCCCTACAGTGCTCATATTTTCAGCTCTGTGTTTTTCCAGTCCAGAGCACGACAATTTTTTAATCTCGACAAGTTTCCTCTCACATTAACAGTGGAGGCCATGCATTAGCAGCAAATGTGCAGTGAAAGCCTGCGTTAGAGATGATGGAGGGGGCCACTGACAAGACAGTTTCGTTCGGATGCCATGGGTGATGCACACAAACACCATTAAGACAAAATGTGCAGGACTTTCCGCCCCCATTTCCCATCCTCTGATAGAGCCTAAGTCCTGACATGGATCAACGTAACAGGCAGGGACAATTCTCCCGAAATGAAAATGGACAAGGAGAAAAATATATATTACCTTCTCAATGAGATCTATGCAAGCTTGCAAATCCAGACCAAAGCCAATAGACACCCATTCAATGCTTTCTTTCTTATATTCCTCTTGCTCCAGAACAAACATGTGCCGATTGAAGAATTGTTGTAACTTTTCATTGGTAAAATTAATGCAAAGTTGCTCAAGGCTATTATACTTCAAGGATATGAATAGGTAAGAAGAAGAGATAAAAATAAAATTGAGGTCCACTTTCAAGAACGTCAGGTAAAGAAAAAACCATAACCATTATTATATGATTGGAAATAGACCCAACAAGAAACAAATGCTCAATTAACTCAATTAATTGTAATTTTGAATTGTAATATCATTAAGTGCAATTTTCTAAAGATTATTACAATAACACAGCACTTAATGGTATTAAAATTTAAAATCACAATTAATTCCTTTACCTCTATTTACCTTTATGTAAGACAGAATTAAGAAATCAATAAATACTTAATACCATTAAGTACAACAATAATTACTATTAATTATAGTTCTTCTCCAATCAAGGTAGCCCTTAAGGTATGCACAGAATGATCCTCATGCTTTGACCATATTTTCCCATCTTCAAGTAACATTTTCTAATCTTCTTATAAATGTGCATTGACTTCCTTCTTACCAGATACACTTACCTCAAGGATTTCAAAACCAGTGATGTCAAGAATGCCAATGAAGAACTGCCTTGACAGCTTGGCATCCAGGGCCCTGTTGATCCGTGCCACCAGCCACTTAAACATCCTTTCATACATTGACTTGGACAGGGCGCCAACAGCACAGGTTACCTAGAAATCACATTGAAAACACTCCTTCATCTGACTGAAGTGTTCGTTTTAATCCTGGGCATTCTCTATCAGCAACCACCTTCTAGTCAAATCAGGATGTGTTTATTGACCTTCTGTGGTTCCAACATTCTGATGAATACAGTGAGAAAAGGAAGAAAAGAAAGAGAGAGACAGAGAGAGAGAGAGAAGACAGACAGGAAAAAAGAAAGAAAGAAAGAAAGAAAGAGAGAAAGAGAGAAAGAGAGAAAGAGAGAAAGAGAGAAAGAGAGAAAGAGAGAAAGAGAGAAAGAGAAAGAAAGAAAGAAAGAAAGAAAGAAAGAAAGAAAGAAAGAAAGAAAGAAAGAAAGAAAGAGAAGGAGAGAGGGAGGGAGGAAGGGAAGGAAGGAAGGAAGGAAGGAAGGAAGGAAGGAAGGAAGGAAGGAAGGAAGGAAGGAAGGAAGGAAAAGAGAGAGAAAGTGAGAAAGGGAGAAAGAGGGGAAGGGAGGGAGGAAGAAAGGGAGGGATGGAGGGAGGGAGGGAGGAAGGAAGGGAAGGAAGGAAGGAAAGGAGGGAGGGAGAAGGAAAAGGAGGGAGAGAGGAAGGGAGGAAAAAGGAGGAAAGGAGATGGGTAGGAGAAAGGAGTAAGCTAGCCTGGTGCCTCTTTATGGAAACACAGATGAGAGGAATCACGTTCCTATTATTAAAGGACTAACTATCCCAGGTTATGGTGTGGTAATGTGTCCCAAAGCCTTGCTATTCAAAGTGTGATCCTAAGACAAGCAGCAGCAACACCACCTAAGCGTGTGTTAAAAATGCAGACTCTCAGGCCCAGTCCCAGACCTACTGAATCAGAATCTGTAAGCTAACACAATCCCCAGCTGATTACTATTGACAAAGACTCTCTCCTTGACCAAACTTTAATGAGGATCCTCTGACCCCTCGCCTCCACCTTACCTGTCCTGTCTTCAGCCTGTCTAGCCCAGCTGCAGGAAGAAGTCTGCTAAGTCACTCACCCTTGATCTCTGATTAAGTTCCCCTATCCCCCACCTTTGATGTACATGTTATTGGCCTGCCTTTAGCAAGAATCCTGTTAGGTCAGTTTAAAAAAAATCCTCCTACCCACTGTTAGTAATTTGCCGCCCACTGATCCCCTCCCTCTGGTCTTGGGCTATAAATCCCCACTTAACCTTGTTGTACTTGCAGTTGAGCCCAGTATCTCTACCCTGTTGCAATATATCTATTGCAGCAGTCCTGAATGAAGTCTTCCTTACCATTTTAATAAGATTCAGAATATTTGTAATACCATGCGTAATAGTTTGAACATAGTGATATAGTACATTAGAAATTTATAATCCCTAATCCTTGTTCTGCCACTGCTGTAGATGCCAATGAATTGTGTAACCTTTGGCAAGTGATCTAACCTTTCTGGAAAGCAGCATCTTCATCTGAAAAACACTCTTAAAGGATCTCCCTAGCCTTAGCTTCCAACTCTTTATTATATTAGTTCCCAGTGTTGCTCTCAACAACCTGGACAGAGAATAGCCATTTGGTGCATCATTCTGACTCAGATTCTCCTGCTGTAAAACTGAGGCTGCCTTTTCCTTCCCTGGAGGGGTGTGGCAAAGGTTCTAAAGTAACCCACTGGGGACAGCGCCAACCTTTGTGCCTGGATGATGCTCTACACATGCAGATCCTGCTTCCATAACTCAATAGCACTGCTGTAGTAGCAGGTTTCTGACATACTCCAAGGAGGAGAGAATTTTAGTTGGCCATTCTCCAAGCCTGGCAACAGAACGTGCTCCAACCACTTAACATTTAAAATAGGCCTATCACATCCATCCTTCTGCCCAGGAGACAGCACGCAGCAGGAGCCAGTTGGTTTCTGGTGGTGATTTAGTTATGAGTCACCCACTCCCTGATCAGTTATCTTGAGTCATTTCCACAGTAATCCATCAGCCGGATGGCATCACAGTTTTTTATTATCAGCATCAAGAGCACACACGTACAAATAAAGCATCAAGAATGATTTTCATCCTCTGTAACACCGAAGAAATCACTCTGTCTATAGCAGTCACTTTGAAACTTTAAAAAGAACATGACTAACTTGCTCACCCCCCTTTAATTCCCTAAATACTTGAGAAGTGGGAGTGGGAGAGATACTGTTAGGTCAGGTGGGGCAAGTGGTAGAGAAACATAGGAAGAAAGCCTGGAGATGTAGGCAGTAGGAGAAATGGATGGTAAACATCTGCTGATGAATTCATGAAACAGATCAATATGTTGCTCACTAATCATTTTCATCATTTTCTGTCCAATGAAGAGGAAATGAGATGGCTAAATCTATACTTCCACTTTTCAGGGGTTAAGTGCACCCATTTCTTAGCTCTTTTTAAAACAACGTCACAGAAGACTTTGGTTACTGGGGGCAATCGTGCATGATAGAAAACAATAGAAAAAAAAATAATGAAGTCAAATAGTTCTTTTTTTTTTTTTTTTGAGATACAGTGTTGCTCTGTTGCCCAGGCTGGAGTGCAATGGCACAATCTTGGCTCACTGCAACCTCCACCTCCAAGGTTCAAACGATTCTCTTGCCTCAGCCTCCCAAGTGGCTGGGATTACAGGCACACACCACCACACCTGGCTAATTTTTTTGTATTTTTAGTAGAGACGAGGTTTCACCATGTTGGCCAGGCTGATCTCGAACTCCTGACCTCAGGTGATCCTCCCCTCTCGGCCTCCCAAAGTGCTAGGATTACAGGAGTGAGCCACCGAGCCCAGCCAAAAGTTTTAAGTATGTTGATCCCTGCCTTTCTCATCTGTAAAATAATAATAATGAAATATGCGTAGCTCAGGGTTGTTGTGAGATATCCAGTGAGACAGGGGATGCAAACTGACAGCACATTTGACACTTAGTATCCAATAAATGTTAATCCTCCCTTTTCCACCCCTTTTCTGCTTTTATCACTTCCTCATCCTCCCCCCAGTATTTACTTACTAGTTGTGTCGCCTTGAGTGGTTAATCTTTCTAAGGGTCACTGTCTGTAGCTGTAAAATGGCAATAATAATATCTACTTTGTAGGCTTTTTATTAGATTAAATGAGATAATTCATGCAAAGCACTTAGCACATCACCTATAGTTAGTACTCAGTGGACATTATTATTATTTTATTATTAATCATAAAGGAACTTATTTCTAGGTGACATAGTTAGAAATATCATGGAATCATGAAATACTAGACCTGAAGATCTTTAGTTCTCGATAGGCATATATAGTGGTTTTCACCTTGGGATGGTATCTCCTCAAAGGAGGAATGCATTTGGAAATGCAAGTGGCATTTTCTGGTTGTCACAGTGACTAAGAATGCTACTGGCATTTAGTTACCTGGGGGCCAGGAATCCCAAACATCTACAATGTGCAGGACACTCTCATCCATAAAGAACTGTCCCATCTTAAATGCCAATTACATTGAGAAATACAAAGTTGTTCAGCCACTTCACCGCGGTGCTCAGAGAGATGAAGACAATTAACCAAGGTATCAGAGTTAGTTAGCATTATAGCTAGAACTAAATTTTGTATAGAATGTTAACGCTGCAAAATTTTTTCCCATCTTTTGCAATTGTCATCAACAGAGCATACATGTCTCTATTTTTAGCAGTGACAATTGTCTCTATAAAATCAGTAAAATTCCTAAGGGAAAAAAAAGCCTTAGAGTGTGCTTTCTTACTATGTCTCCAGGAGAGAGAGAGTGAGAGACAGAGAAAGGAGGAGGTTTTTTTATTTTAATGTTGACTAATAATATATTAGCTTGTTTCACTGGTCCTGTTATAGTAAAGGCTGGAGTCCCTACTATAATATTGTGTTTTTAGTTCCTCAGAACACAATATGAGAGAACTGAAGGCTTGATCTCAGGCCTCCTATGGGCTCATTAGTTTTATTTTTATTTTTTGCTTTTATTATCATTTTAATTGAAAAATAATTGTATATATTTATGAGGTACAGTATGATATTTTCATACATGTATACAATGTGGTAATGATCAAATCAGGGTTATCAGCACATCTATACCTCAAACATCGATCATTTCTTTATGTTAGAAACATTCAAAATCTGCTCTTCTTGCTATTTGGGCTCATTAGTTTTATACAGAGAAAACCCCTGTTCTATAATCATAGCATGTCATGCATGTTGTGGTGAATGTCTAAGAAGGCACGCAACTGCTGAACAACTCTAACCCCACTGCCAAGAAATAGCTCAATTATGTGTCCTGCTGATCGTGATTCAAGTTTAGCTCAATGTAGTCTATTTTAACATGTGTGGAGCACTTACGGCTTACAGGGAATTGTTTCAGATGCTTGGGGCACTAAGATGAATTAGACATAGTCCATGCCTCAAAGAGGTTAGAAGACAAAAATGTAAGCAGATTATTTCAATATAGTAAAGTTAGTATTATAGTAGAGGTAGAATTATCCTTTATAGAGTAAGCTAAATTAATAAATTGATTTTGATTAGTCATTTAAATGTTTTAAATAACACAGACACATCAGTTACCTTAATACACCAAGCGAAACACATCTATTCTAGTCATCATATAGAAGATGACTGTCTTATATTACAAATTTGTACATTTGTCTATTTTTCTTTCAGAGTTAGGGTGTATACTGAGTAAGACTGGGTAAGAATGTTACTTAACGTTCCCTTTGACTCAGTTTGCTCAACTAGAAAAATCATAAATTATGCATTTCTGCCCTACTTAGCTCTGAGTATTATTGTAAGAATAGAAGGCAATAATACCTGTGAATGCTTTAGCCATACTATGTGTGACACCACTTCCTCTTTCCAGAAAGGCTACATTTCTCAGCCCCTTTCTGTAGCTAAAGGTATTATTTTACTAATTCTTATCAATGAACTGTTAGTGAAAGTGATATTACTTCTAGCCCAAGCAGTTAAAGGTGGTTGTACTTTCTCTACAAATGATCTTTTCTCCTTGTGCAGTCACTTTGGAGGCCATGTGTCCCAGATGACACAGAACTACAAAGAACAACATAGAACTACAAAACAGAGAAGGCTATATACTCTGTATTGGACTTGATGTAAGAAATATTTTGTTGTCACTGAGATTTTAGTGTGTATGCATTACTGCAGCCCAGCTTATCTCATATTTTCCCTTACACATTACAGCTATAAATTATTATTTTTGAAACTTACTAGCATGTTTAGATGGTCTCATTACCCAGTGGCCCTGGGAATATTTACTGCATTAAGGCAAAACCTCAGAGAATTTGTTATTCTCCACTACAACATTCTTATGGATGCTAAACAAAGTCTACATGACGTTCCATCTCTCATTTCTGTTCTCAATACCCACTTCCTTTCAAATATTGGTTTTTAGCATATGTCCTAAAACTGTTTCTCAACTAACATGTCACCATGTGTCTTTTATGTCAAAGGAGCCAATATGCCAAATACGTGAGGCATGCCAATTTGCCAATTTTATCCATGTTAGGAACGAACAGCTTTGAAAGCTTCCTTGCTGGATGACAAAGATGTTGATCACAACAAGTGGAGGGTTTGTCTGCATCTGCAAAGATACTTGCTACCTAAGAGAAAACTTTCAAAATGTATGTTTCAGACAAGAGCATTTACTGTGGTGTGCATCACAAGTAAAAACATTTGGAATAGTCATCCCAAGAGCTCTTTTTTGCTCGTTTATAGAAGCTTTTATTATTGCAAACATCCTTAGTAGTTGACAAATATACAAGTACAATATATATACAATTATTGGAAGATCATAGAATAATAATGCTCTTGAAATATCACCTTACCTGTTCTATAGTTTGACCTCTGGTAACATACTCATTACCAACTTTGATTCTAGGATGGATCAAGTCCTTTACCAACTCAGAGGAGTTAATGCCCATGAGGAAAGCAGCTTTGTCAGCATCTGGTCATCAGAGATAGAAGAGAAGGAAGGAGAGAGGAAAACACTGTTAAAATTCATTCCATTATAGCCAAACTGACTACCCAAAGGACAGAAATATAGTGTGTTTAGATCAATGTAGCAAGGTAGATTGTAGTTTTCAAATAAATGCCTGAATCCTAAAAGTTTAAAGGAACCTATTTCTTGGAAATGCAAGTCAAAGCCACATTGAAATCTCACTTCATCAGTTCGTTGGTATTAATGAAAAAGAAAATATAATGCCACTCACACCCACTAGAATGACTGTAATCAAAAAGGCAGACAATAACAAGTGTTGGCAAGGATGTAGAAAAAATGGAACCCTCATACATTGTGGGCGGGAATGCAAAATGGTGTGCATTTTCTGTAAGAAACAGTTTGACAGTTACTCTGATGTTAAGCATAGAGTTACTATAGAACCCAGCAATTTCACTTTCAGGTACACACCCAAGAGAAATGAAAACATATGTTCACACAAAAAATTGTACACAAATGTTTCTAGCAGAATTATTCACAATAGTCAAAAGGTAGGGAAAAGTGAAATATCCATCACTGATGAATGGATAAAAATATGTGGTATACTCATATAATAGGATATTGCTAGTCATTTTACAAAAATGAAGCATTGATGTGTGCTACGACATGGCTGAAACTTGAAAACATTATGCTAAGTGAAAGGAATTCAGACACAAAAGGCCACGTATTGCAGGATTTCATTTCTATGAACTGTTCAGAACAGGCAAATCCATGAGGACAGAAAGTCGATGTTGGTTGCCACAGGCTGAGGAGAAGCAAAAATCAAAGTAACTACTAATAGTTGCTACTAGTTTATTTTTGTGATAATAAAATATTCTGGAATTAGATAGTGGTGGTTGCACAGCCTTGAGAATATACTAAAACCCAATAACCATACAGTTTAAAAGGGTGAATATTATGGCATATGAATCTTCTAAAAGAGGACTACTATCAAGAAATCGACTCTTAGAAATTGAGATATAATTTGTCTGAAGGACATGGAAAATGCCATCTTTATTATTTGTTTTCTCTTTCTATGCATGTACTTGTGGACTCTTTCAACAAAACACGGACTTGGGCCATGTAATCTGATAATTATAGACAAGCACCAATCAACAGAAGCCAGGACACTTGCCAGTTATCTGTAAAACGCCCATCCTTTCCCTGCAAAGTCTCTGTTTACTCCGTAGTGCCCTCTGCTGTCCAACAATAATACTTACACCCCACAAAATTGTTTTATGAAAGAAAACTTCCATTTCCTAAAGTAGTGGAGAATAAGTATTATCAGATGGAAAAGTAAATAGGCATGCATCACTTTAGGTATGAAAAAAATGACATAAAATAATGACACAGGCAAAAGTTATAAACATATTTCAAATTGTGGATTATTTCAGTTACCAAAAAAATAAATATTCCGCTCATCCAAAACCTCTCTCTGCTTTCTATTTTAAATGAATTTGGAGATATGCTAGTATGTCTGGCATAGTCATTCTGTTGAATAATGTCTCATAATAGAAGGTAGTGCAGCGTTTCTTTAATTCACTAAAGAAAAAAAAACCTGCAAATTTTCCTGAGCAATAATCACAAACAGAAAATAAAGTAAAAACAAAACGCAATTAGAGAGGTCTAGCTCATCTGTATTAGCAATATCAATTTCCTTTTCACAGCCTTTTAAGTGTCTACAAGGCTTTAAATGTTTGAAATGTTTGATTTGCTTATAAACTAAAATCAATATATATTATACATACATTGCTACAAGCTACATACCTACTTTATGTTAGTTTATTTGCAGTGATAATAGCCTGGGTACTTGGTTGCTACGAAACCTTTCAAAACACAAAGCTTATCTGGAAAAATAAATGAAAATCAAAAGTAGAGCAGAGATGCCCATCCTGTGCTGAGATGAGTCTGCTAACAGTGCCAGGTTTGGAGGCAAAAGCTTGACAATTTCAAGTTAAGAATCCGGTATGTCAGATCATAGACTTTTTGAACTGGGAGAGACTTTATAGAGTATCTAATCCAGTGTGAAAATATGTAAAAGATGGGAAGAAATAAAATGTGTCTGGTCAATCTGAGTGGAGATGAACAGTAACCAACAATGTGAAAAACAATTTTCTGGTATCTGTCTGGGTTTAAAAAAAAGAGGAAACACTTGTTTTTTCTAAGCTTTGGAAGCATGCAGAGGCATGATACAGGTAATAATAGTCTCAAGGAGTAGTTTCCCACGCCGAGAGTCTTCATATATCCTTTTTCCAGTGTTAAGCACAGTCCTGTGAGTCTATTTTTATCCATGAACAAAAGAAACTCAAATTCTCTCAGGAGTACCCCACCTTAAGCTTAACAGAAATAGCAAGTAACATTACAGGATTATTTCTCACTTACTCCAGAGACAGTTGAGTATCTACAGACAGGACTAGTGTGCCCTGGATTTACTCCAGAGATTTACATTATGCATCACATATGTTCTCTGTTTTGGGGGGCGGAGGAAGCAATAGAAGTCATCATCTTCCAAAAAGTAAATTACTTCATTTGCACTAAATGTTTACAGTTTACAACCAAGATGAAAATAGCGTAAATCTATGAATAAATGCCCATCTGACATTCAGGAACTACTATTGTAAAGATAGCAATGTGTGTAAACATATTTTAATCGTATTCCCAAATAGGCTTTATGAAATTCCCACCCATAAGCATCAGTGCCTTCAGGACCTTGTGAATGAACCCATGGACTTTAATTAGGCTGCATGATCTTACCTGGGGGAGGTCACAATTAGCTACAGTGGTGGTTCTCAAGCATCAGTGTGCATTGGCATAGCTGGAGAGCTAATCAAATATTAAACAACAGGCTCCCTGAAGCAGGTTAGGGGCTGGGCTGCTCTAGTTTTATCATGTTACCCAGGTGATTCTGATACACATACAAGTTTAAGAACAAAGTTGTTATTGCGGTAGTCCTCAACTTTGATGGCACATTGGGGTCCTTGGCAAGTTGTAAAAGCAAATACTGATGCCTGAAATTCACCCACAGAAATCTGGTTTGTCTGGCTTGGGTAATGCCTGAGCTTCAGGATTTTAAAAGTTCCCCAGTGATTCTGGTGAGCAGCCAAGTTTGCAAACTACTGTCTAGAGAAGAGTAACCAGGTTTGGTAATTTTATTTTGAAATCAGGAAGATGGAAAGAACAAAGTACGACTTCACCTGAAAACAGGTAAAAAGGTAGAGAAATTCAAAAAGCAATCTTTTCCAAATTTACAATTCTATCCCAGTTCAGTCCCATCTGCAAATAACCAGATATAAAAGAACGAAACAAAATCCAGTTTTGTCAGTCTACATGGGTTATGATAACGATATAAATCTCTTTTATGGAAGGTTATAATACAATTTTTGAGTTGTTCATATTTCATTAATTTATTAAACAAAGTTTACTGAGCATTTGCTATATGTAAGCCCTGATGCTAGATAACGTAATAAGAAAATAAATAAAAAAGGCAAAAATTCCTGGCATCAAGAAATTATAATCTATGAGAGTAAGTAAAACACGGAGAAAAAAATAATATGTCAGTAAAACAACTGCATAAGAGACACAGATATCGAGTATCACGAAAGTGTGAAGCAGAGCAAGAGCCCTTCTGGGCTGCATGACTGGGGAAGGATTAAAAAAGAAATAACATTCCATCTGAGCCTTGAAGGATGACAAGAGTTTTTGGAGGCAAATATGGGAGAACAAGAGTTTCTGTAAAAATGAACAGCACGACTTGAAGCCACAGGCATTGAAGAGTACAATGTATAGTCCAAGAAGAGGTTATAACCCAGATGGATTGGACTACAGTGCCAGGGAGTGAGTGAGAAACTGAGAAAAGTGGGTGATTTCTGGTTGCAGAAGACAACTAATGCTGCTATAACGTATTAATTAAAGAATGGGGAAATGTTAAAGGAGCTGTAAGCAGAGAAATGACATAATTAGAGTCAGGCTTTAGAATGCTTAATTTTGGAAATATGCAAGACAGACCAGAGTAGGAAGAGTTTTAAACTACCGAGTGAACCCATTGCAGAATGCCCAAGTGTCAGATGCTGAAGCTCCAAATTAGTAATGAGAAAGGAAGAAAGAGAGAGACTGAGAAATATGACTAGGAGGTTTCCAGTCTGAGAAGCAGAGAGAAGACCAGTACCGTAAATATGAATAGAAATGCCAGTAGGAAGACATCACTTAGGGGAGAAGATGATGGACTTTTAGCCATGCAGAGTTTAGGATACTAGAAAATATGCAGCTGAGAGTTGGAAATATGGAGTTGAAACTCAAGAAAGAGGCAAAGGCTAGGATGCCCCTTTGGATTTGGGTGCCCTTTCCCTTTCCCTCTTCATCTGTCAAGCTCCTTCAATTCTTTCCCAAATAATTAACTGGGAAAAATTTACCAAAGCTTAATACATTAAGAACCCTTAGAATTAAAGAAAAATTCAACACCTCTGTTTTTAAAATGAGCTAAAGGTAGAAGCATACTGAAAAAAACTCAGTATCCAGTAAGATGCTTAAGTTAATTATGGCACATTCACACAATGGAATATTTTGTAGCCATCTAAAAAGATATTGCTGAAAAGACAAAAGATAATCAAATATAATTTAGTAAAAAAGATACTAGCATGCATATGATCACAAATTTTTATTTTAAAAAGTTATATGTGCATATTCAACTAGAAAGCTACATTAAAAAATATGTCCTTTGGCATTCACAGTGATTGTTCCTGAGTAGGTAGGATTCACATAACAAATAATTATCCATTACTATGTGCCAGGCACATTTTAAATCCTGGAAATATAGCAGTGAACACACCAAATGAGGTCCCTGCTCTTACAAAGCTTACATCTGGTAAAGACTGAGGGGTGAAGGCTAGGACAGTCAATAAAAACTAGCTGTATGAATGATATGAAGAAAAATATTTAGATTAAGGGGATAGTGGTGGAGGTAGCTAGAGAAGGCTTTTCTAATAAGGTAAGATCCAAGAAGTTACTTTAATAAGTGAGGGAGTAAGATATGAGGACAGGAGAAAAGTTCCAGGCAGAAAGAGGAGTTAATGAAAATAGTCCTTCAATAGGAGTGCTTATAGGCTCTAAAAACAACCAAGAGGCCAGAACATCTGAGTGGAGGGAAACGAGAGAAGAGAAAATGGTAGATTTTGCTACTAATGGTAGGGATTAGAGAGAGAAGAGAAGTATTGGTTGGTGCAAACATAATTGCGGTTTTTGCTATTAAAAGTAATGACAAAAACCACAACTACATTTGCACCAACCTAATATAGAGGTTAAGGAAGCTGTGACAGGGATGTGGGGTTTCATTTGGAGTAAGGTGGGAGCCATTGTTGAGGTTAGAGCAGAAGCAGGACATGGTGGAACAAGGGCTGACTGACACTATGAAAGGACTGACAGTAGCTTCTGGGTGCAGAGCTGTCCACCTATCCATCATAGGCAAGGGTTCAGGCAGGGAGACAAGGAAGGAGGCTGTGGCAATAATCTGGTAAGAAATGGTGGCTCGGGCTAGGCGGTGGCAGTGAACATGGCCATGGTGATAAGTTGTGAGCTTTTGGATTTCAAAGGTAGAGACAAAGAAAAAGAGAGGAGTCTGGATGATTCTGAGATTTGAGTCAGGGTGACTGGGAGAACCTAGCTGGCATTTTTGAAGAAGACTAGAAATGAAGAGTTGGTAGTAAAGGCAGGGTGGGATGAAGAGTTCAGTTCTATTCATGTTCAGTTTGAGATGGGCACCAAAGAAATGAGTATAGAGAGGGAAGAGGAAGGATTCAAGGGTTGAGCCCTGAGCAGGCCTAGAGCAATTAGCAGTAGGGAAGACAAGGAAGCTCCAGCAAAGAACCTGAGAAGAAGCCAAAAGGGAGAGCAGATGAGATTACACATTTCATTTGCTCATCTGTGTTTTCTGATTTATTAATAAGTATGCCTTGGTTTTTGTAATAAAAACCATTCTTCAAGAAAAACCTTTGTTTTAAAGCATGGAAAAAGAAAACGGGATGGCAAAAATAAAATAAGATGCCATAAAAGCATATGTGAATATGTTAATGTGTAAGATGTTTACAAAATCTTCATATTACATTGCCTCACTTCATTCACATCTGTGCTGAGTCCTCTTCTCTGAGGGACTTCCTGACCACCCTATCTACAACAACCCCTGTATCCTATCATTCTTTATTTTTTAAACTCTGCTTTACTTCCTTTTTGTATGGAACTTGTTACATATTTATGTATTTATTTTCTAACTCCCACACTAGACAGGACAGGGACAATATTTTGTTCACAGATCTATCCCTAGCATCAAGAATAGTCCCTGGCACAGCCTGGCCTCTAAAATTATCTGCTGCACAACTGGCCAGATGTGGTGTTTCAGGCCTGTAATCCCAGCACTTTGGGAGGCCGAGGTGGGTGAATCACTTAAGGACAGGAGACCAGCCTGGCCAACACGGGGAAACCCCACCTATACTAAAAATATAAAAATTAGCCCAGCGTAGTGGTGCACTTGTAATCCCAGCTACTCGGAAGGCTGAGGCACAAGAATTGCTTGAACCTGGGAAGCAGAAGGTGCAGGGAGCCAAGATTGCCCCCCTGTACTCCAGCCTGAGCCACAGAGCAAGACTCTGTCTCAAAAAAAAAAAAAAAAAAAAAAAAAAAAAAAAAACCAGAAAACTTATTTGTCAAACAACAAAAAACCAAATAACCTAATTTTAAAAATAGGCAAAGGACTTAAATAGACATTTCTCAAAAGATATATGAATGGCCAATAAGCACATAAAAAGATGTTCAACATCACCAACCAGGAAGGAAATGCAAATCAAAACCACAATAAGATACTACTTTATACCCATAAAGATGGCTACTATAAAAAACAAAACCAAAAAACAGAAAACAACAAATGTTGGCATGGATGTGAAGAAACTGGAACCTTCGTGCATTCCTGGTGAATATGTAAAGAGGTATGGCCACTGTGGAAAACAATATGATGGTTCCTAAAAAAATAACAGATTTACCATTTATTCTAGCAATTCCACTTGTAGGTATATACACAAATGAATTGAAGGCAGAGACTCAAACAGATATTTATATACCAACATTCATAGCAGCATTACTCATAATAGCCAAAAAGTGGAAGCAACCAAGTGTCCATAGACTGATGAAAAGATAAATGTGTTATATGCACACACTGGAATATTATTTAGCCTTAAAAAGGAATGAAATTTTGATACATGCTACGACATGGATGAACCTTGAAGACATTATGCTAAGTGAAATAAGCCAGTTACAAAAGGTCAAATATCATATGATTACGCTTACATAAGGTGCCTAGACTCAGAAAGTAAAACAGTGGTTACCAGGAGTACCGGAAGGGGATAATAGGGAGTTTGGGTTTAATAAGTACATAGTTTATTGAGGTTGAAATGATGAAAAACTTCTGGCAGTGGATTACATTGCTAATTATATAACAATGTGAGTGTTCTTCATGCCACTGAACTGTACACTTAAACGTGGCTAAAATTGTAAATTGTATGTTATGTATATTTCATGCATTAAAAATATAAAATTTAAAAAATTAGTTGTTGAAAGAGTTGAATGAATGGGTTTTCTCTTTTCATTTCAGTTGTAAGGAATTTTAATATTAAATGGAATAACTATGCTTTCTTCTTTTCATAATTGTGGGGATTTATTTTAATGATCATTCTAGACAGATCATTCATTGTAAGGTGCCATAAATCTTTCTGGTAAGCAGAAAAGAGTATAGCTTTTTTTAAATGTGAAAAAAAAACAAGGGGAAATAAAGCCTCCTGGTCTCACCCCTATGAGTTAGTTACATCCCGCGGGAATTCCAAGGGCCTTAGTTCACATCTCCATTATGTCATTTAATACATTTTATCATAATTTGCTCCTTATTATTTTTATTTTATTTATTTATTTTTTTGAGACTGAGTCTTGCTCTGTCGCCCATGGTGCGATCTTAGCTCACTGCAACCTCTGCCTCCTGGGTTCCAGCAATTCTCATGCCTCAGCCTCCCAAATAGCTGGGATTATAGGTGTGCGCCACCACTCTCAGCCAATTTTTTGTATTTTCAGTAGAGACATGGTTTCGCTATATTGGCCAGGCTGGTCTTGAACTCCTGGCCTCAAGTGATCCACCTGCCTCAGCCTCCCAAAGTGCTGGGATCACAAGTGTGAGCCATCGTGTCCGGCCATGATTCGTTCCTTTCTCTCATTGTTCTCAATAATCTATGTGCTAAAGGCATTCTCCTTCACCCAAGTTTAGCAAATTGACTGGATCATCAATAATTATTAAGGAGTGCTTCTTATTCTGTGATAGGAGGATTCTACATTAGAATGGTAGTTGACAGAACCATTTTTGAAGAACAGCAACCAAGGGAGACACTATTGATTAATTTTAAGTAAGAGGTGAGGTTAACTGCAAGGAAAAGGGGGCAGGCTTGGGCCCAGGGATTTGAAGTATGTACCGTATCTTCAAAGTAATTCTTACTTTCTGTGCCATCTGCTTCCAGTTGCTCTTCTCTAGGTTTCTGTTTAAATTTCATGTTTCCAAAGTGCATGATGGCTCCCGTGAGTTTATAGCATCCATACTTCTCATCAGGAAGAAAGCCCAAGATGTCCATGGCTTGCTGTAAAAACAGAAACAGATGGCCCTGTCTTCATTTGCCTAATGGCTGCAGTGAGCACCTCACCCCCGCTGTTACACCTCGGGGCTGTGGGCTGAAGGGAGTGAGATAGACAGCTCTGTTCAAAGCAATGCAAATCAGCCCTGTTGGCACTTGGTCACCCGCAGTCTGCTCATCCCTTTAAAAGAGAATTAGGAAGGCACAAGACTAGGCTTGTTTATTCCCCAGTAGTTTTAGAACTTTCTTTCAATGCCCTGCCTCTCTCTGGTTCCTTCCAGCAACAGATCACTAACTGGCTGTATCAGGTCAATTATTTTGCCTTTCGTGGTTATGGCAGAAAGCACCATATCTGCTGAGTTGCTTGTTTCTGTGATTCCATGTGTTCTCCTGACTTTATTCTAGAGCAGTCATATTTCAAAGACTGGTGAAAAGAAATGTTTAAGAAAAGCCACCTCACCATAAAATTGCATCCTAAGTATCCACTGCACAAGATGTGCATTCTCATACACCCCAAGAGGGAAAAAATTGGTACAATCTTTCTAGTGGTTAATTTAGAATATGTACCAAGAGACTATAAAAAATTCATAATCCTTCGTATTTTCACTTCTAGGAACCTAGCATAAGGTGAATCTGATATACAGAAAAAATGTTAAGCTACAGAGATATTCACCTCAGTGGGAGTGAAAAAAAATCTTGAGTCTAACACTAGGAGAATAGCTCAATAAACAACAGCACAAATGCCTGATAAAATCTTAAGTACCCACTTAAATGTTTATGAAGAGTTCCTAAAGATACTTGAAATGCCTAAACGATTAAACTGAGAAAGCAAATTCTATATGCCAAATGTATATGCAGCATAATTACAGTCTTTTGGTAAAAAAACAAAAAACACTAACATGACCATACAAAAGCAGCTGCAAATAGATAAAAACAGAATAAAGACTGTAAAGATATACACCAAATAAAAGAGATGTTTGCCACTGAGTTGAAATATCTTTCTACTTTTTCATAGCTTCCAAAGTTACTACATTGACAATGTGCAGTTTTCTCGTAAGTCAGTAAACTTTGGACAGAAGCAGCCCTACACCCCTATGGAAGCAAGACCACTTCTCCGGGTCCCTGAAGAACAGAACTCTAAGATGCTGTCTTTCATTTCTCATTGCCATTACCAGATTTCGCTTTGACAACTAACAAGCCTTACTTCTGTGGCCAGCAATTCTTCAGCATCATCCAAGCTCTCCACAGTAACTGCTCCACAGGAGCAAAAGTGGAAGTCTGAGGGATTTGCAGACACCAGGAGCATGTCTAGAGTGGGAAAACCATTCGTTAAATAGCTTAAAGAAATCCGCAAGGCCTTAGAAAATAATGGGTCAATATTCACAGTTTACGGTTTAAATCATACTTGTAAACAAGCTAAAATAAAATCCATATTTTAGACCCAAACTTCTACAATCAATGTTTGCCCTCTATTAACTTGTCAGTAATGTGTTAATGCCTCCCAAGAGAAGACAGGCTGGCAAATTCCAAAAGCAGATTCAATTGCAGCAGTTTCAATTGGTGCAAAAAAACAAAAACAAACGAATAACAACAACAACAAAACACAGACAATGTGTGCTGGTAAAACTTTGAAAACAGGAATTTGGCCTAGATTTATGACTGAGGGCTGGAGGACAAAGGTATTTTGTAAAATTATAAGTAGAACAGATCTGAGCTTCAAAAGCTAGGAAGCAGTCAGACCCTGGGGTCAGCGCCCAGGGAACATTAGCAGGGCAACCCTGTCACATCACATCCTCCCTATTAGGGAGCTGAGTCTGTCTTTCAAGGGATCCATAAGTCAGCTGCTGTGTTCAATGCTGCACCCTGATATGTCTAAGAGTCCTGACGTGATTCACTTAGTCAGGAAACACAATCCAGGCCGAAGCAGAGGCAGGCTGTCAGTCACGCATCAACTGACTTGGCAGAATCATGTTAACCTCTCACTGCCCAACACTTGATCCCAATGAAGTTTTCTTGAGCTGATCTTATTTTTCTATTTATTGCTCAATGAAGTGAAAGTCGGTTATCTTGAACCCCAAATCTCAGAAACAAAGAAATTGGGCTACATAAACGTTCACAGCAGCTTTGTTAGAAAACAAGTCAAATGACCATCTGCAGTTGAATGGGCTAACAAACTGTTGTACATCCATACAGTGGATTATTATTCAGCAAACAAAGGAATGAACTATAAATACATGCTAGAACATGGAAGAATTTCAAAATAATTATGCTGGGTGAAATAAGCCTGACAAGAAGAATATACACTCTATTTTTTTTGGTTTTGTCTTTAAACATTCTAGAAAATACAAACTAATCTATGGTGACAGAAAGCATATTAGTGGTTGCTTAGGGACTGGGGCTGGGAGAGGAGGGCTCCAATGAGTGAGAAGGGACAGGAGGGAGGTCCAAGGACCTTTTGAAGATCCAAGCACACTTTTGAAAGTATACATGCATTATGTTGATTGTGGTGACAGTTTCATACACACACACATATATGTTAACACTTACCTGTTATATACTTAAAACACATGCCGTGTACTTTAGTTGAAAAGTACTTCAATAAATTTGTTTTATAAAACTTTAAAAATAAAACAAAATTGGCCTAACTTAAATCAAGCAGAAGGTTAATATATGTATTTTAATAAAAATGACCTGTAAAATTTTTTACAGTACTTGTTTTTTAAATGATTTTTATTTTTTAAATTGACAATTTAAAATTGTATATATTTATGGTGTACAACATGATGTTTTGATACATGTATACATTGCGGAATGGCTTATTCCAGCTAAGTAATGTATCATCATTTCACATACTTTTTTTTTGTGTGGTGAGAATATTTAAAATCTACTCTGTTAACCATTTCAAGCATATAATACATGGTTATTAACTATAATCACTGCGTTGTACAATAGATCTTCTGAACTTATTCAACTTTTTTAGATTCTACATGGGTGAGATAATGTGTTATTTGTCTTTCTGTCCCTGCCTTATTGCCATACTTGACAAAAATAACAAGATGTTCTGTTCTTTTCTTTTCTTTTTTTTTTTTTTTTTTGAGACAAGGTCTCACTCTGTCACCCAGGCTAAGGTGCGGTGGCACGATCACAGCTCACTGAAGCCTCAATCTCCCAGGCTCAAGTGATCCTCCCACTTCAGCCTCCCTAGTAGCTGAGACCACAGGTGCATGCCACCATGATCAACTAATTTTTTAATTTTTTATAGAAACAGGGTCTTGCTATGTTACTCAGGCTGACCTTGAACTCCTGGGCTCAAGCAATCCTCCCTCCTGGGCCTCCCAAAGTGTTGGGATTACAGTCATAAGCTACCAAACCCAGCCAAGATTTCCTTCTTTTTCTTTAAGGCATAATAGTATCCTATTGTGTATATAGACCACATTTTCTTATCCATTCATCCTTCATGGACACTTAGGTTGTTTCTCTATCTCAGCAATTGTGAACAATGCTGCAGTGAACATGGAGGTACAGATATTTCTTCAGGATACTGAGTTCATTTCCCTTGGATGTATTCCCAGTAGTGAGATAACTGGATCATAAGGTAGTTCTATTTGTAATTTTTTGATTAACTTTCATACCATTTTTCATAATAACTGTGCTAATTTATAGTTGACTCAACAGTGGACAAGAGTTCCCTTTTCTTCACATCCTTGCCGACATTTATTATCTCTTGTCTTCTGATAGCAAGACAATATCTCATTGTGGTTTTTGCTTTGCATTTCCATGATGATTATTGATGTTGAGTCTTTTCTCACAGACCTGTTGGTCATTTGCATGTCTTCTTTGGAGAAACATCTGTCAGGTCCTTTATCCATTTTTTAATCTGGTTGTTTTCTTGCTATTGAGTTGAGTTCTTTATATACTTTAGATATTAACCCCTTATTGATATACAGTTTGCAAGTATTTTTTCCCATTCATTCAGTAGATTCTTTCATGATGATGCATGATTGTTGTATAGTTTATGAAGCGAATACTCAGGGTATGAGGCCAAATGTCAAGGATTCCAATATGGAAGGACCTCTTGGTCACTTATCATCACTCCTGGAATCTATACACTAGTTGAATAGCAAGAATAGGTACAATAAATAAATGGAAACAAAAAAAGTCAAAAGAAAAAGAAAAGAAAAGGGAAAATATATGTAGGACCAAGCTATGCAGATGGCAGTGAGAACTAAGGATTTTGAATGAGCCCTGTCCAAAAGAACTGAAGAAATGAGTCTTAGCTATGCCTGGAACAAGGGTCAGATATAATTGAGAGCAAAGGGGTGAAGGGGTACTCATGGCCATGTAGAGATCAAATAGGGACTGGCTCTGAGGTAACATGTCACCTCATTTCCTTGACTCCCTCAGTGGTTGGCCAGCCTCTCTGCTGTGATTTCCATACCCAATTCTTTTGTAGTGTGGACAAATCCTCATATTTCAGGATATGTGGACATCATCCTCATATTGTTAAGATATGCCCTCTTGTATTAAGCCTCAGGATACTCTGAAGCTCTTCTTTGGCAAACATGGATGATAAGAGTTCCAGATCATCTTTTAAAATGTCCCCCAAAAGGACAATGGGTGCTAAAACAGGTAGACTGACAATACCCAGTTTGGACCACCAGATGTCAGGCTTTGCACAGTAATCAATCTCAGCAACCCCCAAAGACTGAAGAAGATAAATGAATTCAAGATAAGCATGAATTTTCCATAGCAGCCCAAAGGCATCAGATGCTTCTATTAGTAAACAGAGATGCTCCGAAAGTAACCTTGCAGTCTCTGCTGGTACCTTCATCAGATCTTATGTGTCAGTCGCCCTATACCATCCAGAAACACATGTCAGGAGTATTAGATTTGATAGGGCTAATCAATGGAAGACCAAAAAAAATCCTGTTCCAGGTTGAGGCGAAGAGAAGGTGGGGAAGAGAATGTACTGCTTACATAACACCAATTACATCTATGGCAAAAATAATTGTCTCGTTCACAGAGCTTTCCCCATTTGGTAAGGGTACTTTAAAGACCAAGTAGTCAAAACACTGCTAGATTTATACCATACTTAATCTAAGCATAATGGACTGGGAAAATTGTTCCCATCAGTTCACTAGCCTGGATCTGTAATCTTATCCTACGTCCACTTCTGTGGGAGCATTGTTGTCCTCAAAAGCTTACCTCAAATACAATACCTTGGAAATCAAATCAGCATGTCATTCTCTCCTTCCAATGAATCCCTATGCCACTTTAAACTCTCTGCCATGGTCTACAATGTGCTACATGGTCTAACCCCTGCCTACTTTACCCTATGTTACCCTCCCTACCACCCACAGTGGCCATTTTGCTATTCCAATAATAAATCAAATGCATTCCTTCCTCAGGACCTTTGCACTCACTGTTCCCTCCTCCTGGAATTTTATTCCTGGAAATCTTTGCCTACTTGCTCCCTTACTTATTGAGGTGTCTGTAAAAATATTGTCTTTTCAGAGAAATTCCCTGACAATTTCATCTAAAATAGAACTATCCACAACCCTACCAAACCCCATTTCTTTCTGTCCCCTCACTGCACTTTATTTTTCTTTATTCACCTGCCATATAACCTACAAAGAAATTAGAGCATTTGTTTTTTTCTTTTTTGAGACAGAGTCTCACTCTGTCTCCCAGGCTAGAGTGCAGTGGCACATTCTTGGCTCACTGCAACCTCTGCCTCCCAGGTTCAAGTGATTCTCCTGCCTCAGCCTCCCAAGTAGCCACAATTACTAGCACCTGCCACCATGCCTGGCTAAGTTTCATATTTTTACTAGAGACTGGGTTTTATCATGTTGGCCAGGCTGGTCTCAAACTCCTGACCTCAAGCAATCCACCTGCCTCAGTCTCCCAAAGTGTTGGGATTACAGGCATGAGTCACTATGCCCAGCCTAGATCATATATTCTGTACTTGTTTGTTGCCTGTCTTCCACACTAGACTATAAGCTCAGAAGGGCAGAGGCCTGTCTATCTTGTATCACCACTGTACCCCCCATGATTAAAAAGCAGTGCCTGATGTACACATGGAAGCTCCAGAATAAATATTTGTTGAATAAATACATGAAATTCATTCCCTTATTCCACAGGGATTTTTTCTTATTTTATGTTTATGGCACTATCATTCTCCTAATCAAATCACAAAACTTGGGGATATTTTTGACTCATCACTCTTCCTCACTCCTACATTCAGTCACTACCAAGACCTGTTTATTCTTCCATGCATCTATCCCTTTTCCCCCACCCTTCCATTCCCAGACACTCTTTTAGATCACTGTCTTGTCATCTCATACTGGGACATTTGCAATCCCTTCCATCCAAATCTCTGCCTCCACACCATCCTGCCCATTACCAGCTTAATCGTCCCAAATACTGCCCTCAATAAATCATGACCTCCTATTGCCTCACTCCCCACAACACACTCACACACTTGCTCTGCCAACTCCCTGAGTTCAGAAACCATCAGAATAAAATCTCCACTATTCCTCTATGCAAATCTTTTCCTTTAGTCAAACTGGTGTCTCTGTTCCCTGCTCCTGCTTTGCCCTTTCCCAACATTGTGTACACTCTTCCTCCTACCAGAAGTAGCCTCCACTCTTCACTTTGTCGACTGAATCCCCTTCCCATTCTTCGTTTCCCAACCTAAATTCCCGTTCTTTATAAAACTCCTGAGCCAGACACGGTGGTTCACACCTGTAATCCCAGCACTTTGGGAGGCCAAGGTGGGAGGATTTCTTGAGGCCAGGAGTTTGAGACCAGCCTGGCCAACATGGTGAAACCCCATCTCTAGTAAAAAAGAAAAAAGAGAGGAAACTCCCATTGACCACCACACACTATGATGCTATCTCCCTCCCCGGGTCTCTTATCTTTACCACTCATGTAGTTCTAATTAAGGCCTTAAATTAATGCTTTTATACACACACACACACACACACACACACACACTCACCCACTCACCTCTGCTGGGTATCCTACCCACTTTCAAACACTCTTCTTCCTTTTGCTACCAAATTGAAAAAGAAGTGTTGCCATTTACTGTCTGTCCATATAAAATTATACAACACTAGTTCTATAATTGGTTCAACTCCCTAAGTTTTAAGGATGAATATACTGAAGTCTAAATAGGCTAAGAAACTTACTGAATAACACTTTTTCATCCCCCAAATATGGCTTATTTTTTTTGTTTTGGAATAGCCCTAAGCTCCAGAATCCTACACTTACCATGAAGCTCTTTTTGTCCAGATAGAATTTGATAGAATATGTGGTAGTTCCTCTCTCCAGGCTGCTGGAAAATCACCCTGGACTTTTCAAGAAAATCTGGATGATGAGAAATGAATAAAGATTCATACTTAGGCATTCTTGAAAAATGTAGAACAAAAGTAATCAGGCTGAGTGCAGTGGCTCACAACTGTAATCCCAGCATTTTGGGAGGCCGAGGTGGGAGGAGCACTTGAGGCCAGGAGTTTGAAACCAGCCTGTGCAACATAGTGAGACCCCGTTTCCACAAAGAAAAATTTTAAAAATTAGCTGGGTATGGTGGCACATGCCTGTAGCTGCAGCTACTTGAGAGGCTGAGGTAGAGGATTGCTTGATCCCAGGAGTTTGAGGCTGCAGTGAGCCATGATCCTGCCATGGCACTCCAGCCTGAACAACAGAGTGAGACCCTGTCAAGAAAGAAAAGAAAAGAAAGAAAGAAGGAAGGGAGAAAGAGAAAGAGAGAGAGAGAAAATGAAAGGAAAGGAAAGAAAAGAAAGAAAAGAAAAGAAGGAAGAAGGAAAAAAAGTAATCAGATAGTGCAATGACTACTTACAGATATCAATGTCCACAGATGACAGCATGCCTCTGGCACCAAAGTGCATCCTGATGAATTTGCCCTAGTGTGGACACAGAACACACTCAGACACAGAACACAGTTTCCTATTCAAATTTTCCAAGCACTTGCAATGGCTTCACTATATGTAACTCTCAAAATGACTACTTCCTCAAAAGTAAGAAACAAACAAACCAAAAAAAAAAAAAAAAAAGAACAGAAAAATGCAATGTGGGTTTGAGATGAGATAGCACCAGCTAATATCTGGAGGAAGCCAGAATGATTGTCAGGACTAGCAGTGGTTCTGGCTTGTAGCCCCAAATCTGCTGATTGCTACCTGTGTATTCTTGCGGGCACTGTGAAATCTCTCTGGGCCTCACTGTTCTTATCTAAAGATAATAAAAATATTTCCTCATCATATTTGTTTGTTCATTCACCAACCTTCATTGAGCATCTACTAAGATCCAGGTAACCTTCTAGGCACTAGAGATACCACACAAGAAAAATAGACATGGTCCCTACCCTCACAAACCTTATAGGCTAGTGGGTAAGCAGTTACTGCAACAGCTCTGACATAAAATCACAAGAAAAGCCAGTATCCTAGAACTTAGAAAGTCAGAGAAAGAGGGGGCATAAAATGGAGTTGAAGAGGTAGACAAACTCCATATCATGTAAGCCATGTAGAACATGGGAAAGGGTAGGGTTTTATTTTTTGTGTGCTTGGGAGACATTGTAAGGTTTTAAGCAGAGGAGTGATGTGATCTAATTTGTTTCAAAGCACACCTTGGCCTAAAGAATAGACAGATACTCTTTCTTCCTTATCAGTGAAAAGCCATAAGGCAGGATCTAGAGGGGCAGAAATGCTGTCCAGAGGTGCCAGCGCCCATGTCAGAATGCCAGATGCAGCTAAGGAGGTGGCACCATCTGGTTGCAGCTAGAGCCTGTGGGATGAGGATGCTGGAACAGGGAGGAAGTCAGCCTGGTGGAGGTTGGCCCATGCCAGGAAGGCACCAGGGCAGGACAGCAGCCTGGCAAGAAGAGGTGAGTAGGTCTGTACAGGGGGATCGAACAGGTACATTAAAATATGTAGGACAGTGGGAGTCACACACACAAACACACATGTATATATACCCATACATACAAATGCGCAGGTACATATATATGTGTGCACATACACATATACAGAGGTATATGTATACATATCTATTTAGTATTAATTGAAAATTTTAACTCAGATTTCTTGATTATTTTGAACTCCTTTTTTTTTTTCTTCTCTCTTCTTTCTTTCCTTCCATTGATCCATCTTCATGCTTATTTTTCTCCTCTACTTCTTTCCTTCTGTCTTTTCAACTTTTCTCTCCTTTCTGTTCTCTTCTTCATCGTTTTTTAAGGCAAGTTCCTGCTCTGTCACCCAGCCGGAGTGTAGTGGTATCATCATAGCTCATTGCAGCCTCAAACACCTGGGTTCAGGTCATCCTCCTGCCTCAGCCACTTGAGTAACTGGGACTACAGGTGCACACGACCACTCCAGGCTAATATTTGTGTTTTTAGTAGAGACAAAGTCTCACTGTGTTACCCAGGCTGATCTCGAACTCCTGGGCTCAAGTGATCTGCCCACTTCAGCCTCCCAAAATGTTAGGGTTACAGGCATGAGCCACCACACTTGGCTATCTTTCTTTTTACCTGATGTTTTTCCCTTTCTTCCTTTTATTTTTTTCTTATCTTTCCTTTTTCCTTTTTAAAAATGTTCTTTTTCCATCCCTCTATTCCTTCCTTTTTCTTCCCTTGCTTTTTTTTCCCCAGCTTTCTATCTTTCATATTTCAGCAGAAAGTCCTTTAGCATTCTAACAAATCCCAAATCTACCAGTTGTTTTATGAACCAGTATTAGTGCCTGCTATGACCAGCCAGACACTGTAAGCACATCTAAATGTGAACAGAGCAGCTCCAAGGCTTTGGATGGAAACTAGCCAAATCAGCATGTGGTTATTATTTAATTATGCCGGGAGACTCAAACAGGAAGCCTTCTGCAAATTTTCTTGTGAATCATACAGTGGCTCCCTGCCACTCATTCTTGGCATAATATGAATTTGTTAAACTAGGTTTAGAAATCCAAATTCTTCCTCTTCCGTGGGAGTTCTAGTTATCAAAAGCTACTTAAAAATACTTTCTCGTCAGACCCCCAAAAAAGTTTTCAGTGAAAAATATTCAGGGGTAAGGAGGCCATAGGCAAGAGTACAAACAGTAATTGTAGTAAGTGAATTAGGAAGTGCCTACTGGTTTAGGAAATTACGAAGGAGAAAATATTTCAAATATGTACAACGTAATAAAATATAAGGCATGATTATAATTTTTTGGGTGAGCTTCTCTACTGGGAGTGGAATTTGAAACTATTAAGATAAATGCTTTTTTCTTGAAATTGACCAAATAGAAACTCTTCAGATGTATATTTATTTATAAAAATTTAATTGTCTTAATGATATAGATGGTAAATGTTTGTGAGAAATCTAACATTACAAACTTTAATCAAAGAGCTTCTTTGGTGTTCTAGAATTTTTTTCATACCTGTGTGCTTACATATGAGTTTTACCATTGCATACAAATTAAATACTTTGATATTATGCTAAATCATGTTACTTACAAAACGAGAGGAGTTGTCATTTCTCAGGGTTTTAGCATTTCCAAATGCTTCCAAGATAATATTCGCTTGCATGATTTGCTCTTCTAATGCCCCCTGAGACACATGAAAGAGAAGTACAGTTGATTAAGCTATTAGTAGAATTCTGTAATGTGGCAAGCCCTCCATCTCCAGGTCAAACCCCATTCTTGCTTTGATAACCAATGGCCAAAACCTGCTTCCAAATTTGGTTATATTATCTTGGAATGAGAAATCAGAAAAACAGTTGGATGACAGAGGCTAACAATATACAATACCCCTATGAATACGTGGGAGCTCATTTATTTGCAACGCTTCTTTTTTGGTTGGCATTGGCCTGAGTGGGGAAAAAAAAAATCGTCACCAAATAAAAAAGAAAAACATACCAGCTTATTTACAGACAAATATCGTATCATGTATTTCCCCCATCATTAATCTTCCTCTCTTCCCATCTGATCTTTGTACCTGGAAACTTATCCTAGCATAATACAACAGACTCTTGGTGTTATTAAACTACACTTTTGCTTGCTTCTTTTCCTAAGTAGTCTAGAGGTTCCCACCGAGTAGTGACTTTTAATAGTATTGATCTTGAATTTGAATCACTTGTGCTCAGGCTGATGGGCCAAAACATACCATCGACCTATCTACCATATCTACATGGCTTTGTTGTTTTCCAGTCAGCCTCAAAGACCCATTTTATGGGGGTAACTATATAGTATATGGTATTTAATAATTTATGGATTTATAAATATTATATCCCTTCTTATATCCCTTCTACTATGTAATACTCCCCATTTTATGGGGGAACGTATATAGTACATCATACTCAATAATTTATGGATTTGTAAGTATTATATCCCTTCTCAGTAATATGGGTTTACTGTCCTTCAAATAAGTTAGAGAACATTATATATATATGAGCAAAGATTTCCATAGAAGTGTTATATATTATGTATTGTATTATATCATAAAACTCAATGGCTAAACCAAACCATTTAATGCACTCCAAAAAAAAAAATCTAAAATGCTTGTAAAAACAAAGTTATAGTTATAACTATCTATAAATAAAAGAGTTCAATGATATCCAAAGAAATCAGTAATCAAACTCAGGAATGTGGTCGTTAGAAAAGAAACTTCTATAGTTTAAAAATTGAGCCAGATGACTATTTTAATATATTTCTTACTTTGCAAAAACAGCAAACATCCAGTATCTAATTGAAAAAGCAAAATAATCATGCCAGACATAGAAAAATGAGAGGTCTAACAGCTCAATAACTCATTGATTTTGAGTTCCATTCAGCATTACCTAATTTTATTTTGCATACCAACGTGTATGGTCTTAGTTATCCTCTAGTTATTATGATGTCCATTAACATGTTAATGGAGCTAAACTAAAATGAACAAGTTTTTGGGTTTTTTTTTTGTTTTTTGTTTTTTTTAAATAGGGAAGGCAAAGGTTTTTCTGAACGTGGTATGTGATTAACATTGAGGGGTATGTCCATTAGGCATTTAGAACTTGATCCAGGAGTTAGGTATGAATGAAGAAAACTTTTATTGGTGCATATTTATGGGAATTTGATATCTCACAGTAGCTAAAGGGATTCAGAAATATCCAAGCCACCGATGACCCTAGACTTTAGGTAAGATAGTTTGAATCTTGAGGACTTAACTTACAGATCCAACAAACAAAGACCAGGCCAGAAAATGCCCCTTTAAGCAGATGTGAAATTGATTATGTAATTAATGTTTTCATGTTATTGTTTGGAGCACTTGATGATCCTCTCAAAGAGCAAAGGAAAGATTAAAAAAAAAAATACTTTTCTATGATTTGCAAATTGTCCTGTGGCACTTGTTGCCTCCTTACTTCCCAAAAGTGGTCAGGACAGAGCCTCCATGATCCAGTGGATAGGGCCACCTCATCTTTTCTGCCAAGCTGTATAAACACTTACCGGCTTTTTCCTGGGTTCACTCATGGCTGCTATGGTGGCAAAATACTGGATAATATGTTTGCTGTTCACAGTCTTTCCAGCACCAGATTCTCCTCTGTGATTTGAAATTCAGTGACACAGTTAACTAGTTCTGATTATCAATGCAATGAAAGAAAGGTAATTTTGATTTTATAGGCTATGGCAAGCAGGGAAGCTTTTACATAAAAGTAGAGCTTCTGATGGAACTTGAGGACATATTGACATTTAATTGGTTGGGAGAAAGGCAAGGACATTTCAGGCTGGAAAAACAGCATGGGCAAAAATCTGGAGTTAGAAAGATCACAAATTTTGTAAATATTAGGAAGCCTGTTCCTTATGGTCCTAATAACAAAGAGTAGGAAAGCGCCTCTTCTAACTAGACAAGGCTCCTCATTACCAGCTGTTCAAGAGATTTTCACATATGAAGGCTACCATACAGCCAAGTCCAACCCTCTTCTCAGAAAAAGGCTACCAATTACTTCACCAGGCAGTTGGGCTTTAGGCTTTACCTTACCTTTGACAACCAGCTAACTTTGTAATGTGGGAAGAGCACAGTGGTAAATCTATAGCCTCTTCAACATAAGCATCATTGAATCAAGGCCTGCCTGCCTTTATCTATACAAAACTCCAGAAATAGTTTATCATCTCTATGAAAGTCTGAACTCCAACTGTTCATCTAGCTCTAAAATTCTGAGATCTTATGATTTATCCTGGGATAACTGAAGCCAACGGAGAGCCCAATGTACAAGATGGTATCATCATCATTGCATGGGAAGGTAAAGGACTTTAGCACTTCACAGCCCCTTGAGTCTCAGTCACCATGCTGACACTTTACCTGGCCGGCCAGTGCTCTTTTCATCAAAACTCACATACAATAAGATACCACTGTGACCCTTCCTTCTCTCCTTTTCACTCCCTTTCTTATTTCTCTAAATGTCACCATCTTTTAGTTTTCACTGCTTCATGTACTTTGGCCTGCCCCAATCTGCCTGCCCACAACTGCTTCTTAAATGTTCCATGGGCATACCTACTGGACATTCAGCCCCTCTGCTTAGCCAGTCCAGAGGCTTTTGAAGGTGACCATTTGGGACAGTGTAGCTCTCTTAATCATCAAGAAAGTAATTAAGATCAGCTCATGCACTATTTCTAAAGGATCTCTGAAAATGAGGGAGGCAGGCTAGCTGACACCATATTTGGAGTCATCACTGACTAAAGCACAATGACAATTTCCTGAGTATCTTTTTCTTACCTCAAAGGTATTGCACCTAAAGGGCAATTAATTCAAAGATGGTGAATCAAAGTTTTATTCCCAGTGAAATGGAGGTATCTATTTCCACTGAAACTTACTTCAGGCCAAAAAAGAAAAACAAGGCAAACACTTACGTAAAGAGTATAGACTGATTTTCTCGATCTACAAAAGAAAGAAAAATGCCAGAATATTCGAGGATTATGTATTAGTATGAACTTATTCAAAATTTCCCTAGCTACAATTTGAAATCAGACACAAGGGAAAGGATTAGCATCATTTATAGTTAGAAAACCATAGCACTCAAATGGTACAGAGTAAAATCGATTTTCTCTTGCCCCTATGTATGCCAGTCATAAGAACATATAAATTAAAGGCCTATTTCTTTGCTCTACATACAGATGGTAACCAACTAATGATTGAGATTCTTGACACTTTAAGCCTTTTAAGAATCATTGTGTAATAATATCTATAGAATAACTTCTTTGTGCCAGACACTAGAGCAGATGCTTTATATAATAAAGGCTAACATCTACAGGCGGCTTACTCTGGGCCAGCCACTGGGCCGAGCACTTTAAATGCATTATCTCACTTTGATGTACAAACTAATCGGCCCAATAACCCTAGGAGGTAGGTACTATTTCGCCCACATTTTATCTAGAAGGAAACAGAGGCTTCAAGTGATTAGCTAACTGTAAAGGCCATGCTCCACTCACAATGCCTAAGTGCCTCTTAGGCACATAGAAAAAAAGTAGATCAGATATTTTTACTTTTCATTTTGTAGGGCAGCTACTCACTGTGAAGCATGTCCTGAAAGGCATTATTGGCAACAGCAAAGATGTGAGGGGGAGCCTCTGATCGCCTCTTCCCTTTGTAGGCGGCCACGACTTCTTTCTTATACACGGGAAGCCATTTGTAAGGGTTTATGGTCACACAGAAGAGACCTGAATATGTCTGAGGGAAGATCAGAAAAGATTTCAGAAACTAGATTAGAAATACTTCCAGGTTTGTCAGCTCTTCCACTGTCAAGTAACATTTGCTCAAATGTTACTTATAAAGGAACTCAGAGGAGAGTTTTTGGAATCATGTAGAGAAGGGACTTCTAACAAGAAGAGACAGAACCAGGTTAGAGTAACATCAGGACCTGGGATTACCTCTCTCCTGGGAGACCTGCTAATTACTAACAAGTCTGACACATGGAGCTTCTGAAGACAGAGAGGACCCTAATGGTAGGACTGCAGAGATTTCAGTAACCAGCCATCAGGCATTTGAGGCCAGAGGGGATTCTCTGCCTCAGCAAGATTAGGGGCTTGATTTTTAGGGCACTGAGAAGGAATAGCTCATGTGGGTCACTCAGTCACTGAAGGGGTTGAATTATGGCCCCTAAATAGATATGTTTATGTCCTATTCTCCAGAGCCTGTGAATGTGATCTTATTTGGAAAAAATAGAGCCTTTACAAATGTAATTAAGGGTTAAGGGTCTCAAGATGATGACATCCAGGTGGGTCTTAAATACAATAACTTGTGTTTTTATAAAAGACACACACAGGAGAAGGTGATGTGACAATGGAGGCAGAGATGGAGTGATACAACCAAAAGGAATGCTAGAGCCGCTAGAAGCTGGAAGAGACAAGGAAAGATTCTCCCCCAAAGGCCTCCAGAGGGAGTGCAGCCCTGCTGATTGGATTTGATTTTGGACTTCTGGCCTCCAGCACTGTAAGAGAATAATTTCTGTTGTTTTAAGCCACCCAGCTTGTGGTAATTTTGTTATAGCACCCCAGGGAAACTAACACAGTTACGTGGTAAATCAGAGAGCTGAGGAGCAAGCTGGTTGCATGCCATGATTCCTATGGCCATGGGTCCCAGATGCTACATCTTAGCTTAATCTACACAGCACTGCTTCTGCTGCATAGGTTTTGAGCAAGTCAAAGAACCTGAGCAACCAACCATCATCAATTTAATGATGATGAAGAAATCATCTCACTCATTAATCACTAACTAGGTGACATGCATTGAACTAGGTGCTTTACCTACATTCTTTTATTTAATCCCCCAGGCTCCCATGGAGAGGCAGACATTGTTATCCCACTTTATAGATAAGGCAACTTCAAGAAGTTAGGAAACTTAACAAGCAAGTGACAGTGCTGATGGCTAGTCTGTCAGGCTCCAAGCCTCATGCTTTTAACTAAGGGTGATCTGTGGGAAGGCACATGAATGTTGACAAAATGAAATTGGGGAAATGCTAAGATAAGGTCCCTTCCCAGTAGACATTCCTCAAGGACTATCCCCGTGTGAGCATGCTTAGACTCAATGTGAGAGAGCACCCAGGAGAGACTGGGACGTGCAATCTGAGTGCCAGCATGACAGTTCAGCAGGAAAGCATATTACACACATAGATCATCCACTGGCCATAGCGCCGCTTCAGGGCATGCAGCACGGATGCCTCATTGAGGTGAGTCAGCATTGCCATATCTTCAATCATTTCAAACTCTGGAGGATTCATCTGCTGGATTTTGTCCTCTTTTATGCTCAGACTCTGCAGAGAGAAGAAAAATACACGATATATTCCCCTGTCTCCTATGCTTATTCATTTTCTCATGCATCAGAAAGAATATTCAGACTCAAAAAGAAAAAAATGATGCCTCATTAGGGGATGGGGCCAGAAGAAATTAAGCCAAACTTCATGGAAAAAAGCAGGTGCTCCCTGAAAAAGTCCTCTCCTTCCCTAAAGATGAAGTAAATATAGTATTTTTGTTATATCAAGATTTTCTGTCATGCACTACCCTAATCTTGTGGCTTCTGGCTAGCCCTGATTGCCTCTAAGAGTACATAGATCATATTATGCATGATCTAACCCCCAACTTCCAGCCCTTGATGTCCCAACATACCTTGGAAATTTAGAAGAAGCAGCTTGGAGTGGAGGATTAAGGAGGCAGACCTTTTCCTTCCAGACCTAGTTCAAAACCTGTCTCCTCCCTCAAACCTTCCCAACTACTCCAGCTTATTAGTTTGTCCTCTTTTGTTAAGTCTTACCACTTGTACTATCTTTACATTAATACTCTTGTGTATGTTTTAATAATTGACTATGTTAGACTATTTTCTGGCTAGACTATAAATACCTTAAGAAGGATTTTTGGTTGTCTTCTTTAATGACATTCAAAAACTTGCACATGCATGTTCATTTTTGATGTTGTTGTCTTAATAACTATAATTATTAAATGCTTAGTAACTATAATCACAATGCTTGGGATATGGTAAATAATAAATATTAATATCTTGATGAATATGGATGCATTTCTACTGTCAAATACTTTCTTGAGATTCTTCTCACAGGTTTCCTAACACCCTTTCTATACCCCTTTTCCATGATTAATACATATTTGTGTCAATTGATTGCCCCATTTAATCCTAGTTGGTGATGGCTTCTTCCCAAGGCTCTCACACTCTTTACATTCTTGATTCAATTTCTATCCATCTGTCTTCTTCGACATTGTTCTAATAGTAATCCCTCTTCTTTTGAGTCCCTTCACTTTCTGTATTTCAAGGACTCCCCTCAAACCCATGCAGAACGTAATCCTATCTCATACATCTTCAAAAACCTCCCCTTTTCCCTAATTCTATTTTTCTATTTTTTTCATTACCAACTTTCATCGATAAGTAGTACTTTACACCCACTGGATTTATTGCCTTTGTTAATGTTACAAAGACCAAAGGTGATTGGAAGTGTAGTCACTTCTAACATGAGGAAGAGGAATCCTGGAGCCAGGGAGACAAAGAGTAAAGCTGGGGGAATGGGACCTTCATAACATGAAGGAAGGACAAGCAGGACAAAATAAACCACCTTCAGACTCTTCTTTCTACCTGCATTAATGGCTTTCATGCTCTTCTTCGTATGGTTGTAACCACATTATAGTCACAAATCACCTTAAGTGCTGTTGAAGGCAAAGTAGTTTGTTTTGGAGAATGTGCTCAGAAGAGCAAGCCTCACATCTGGAGGCCTAATAAAATTTAGTTGGTCATCATTAAGAAAATGAGAAGACAATACATAGACTGAGAGAAAATATGTACAAATAATACATGTGATAAGGGATTTGCATCCAGAAAGTAAAAAAGAACTCTTACAACTGAATAATGGAGAGGCAATAGCCCAATTTAAAAAATGGGCAAAGAGTTTGAATAGACATTTCCCTGAAGGAGATAAACAAATGGCCAATATGTACATGAAAAGATGCTCAACGTCATTAGTCACTGGGGAAATGCAAATAAAAATCACATTCAAATACCACTTTATGCCCAACAGAATGGCTGTAATCAAAAAGAAAATAAAATGTGCTTGTAAGAGGGAGAAAGTTTCATTCTTATATGTTGCTGATGGAAATGTAAAATGGTAGCCACTTTGGAAAGCAGTTTGGAAATTTCTCAAAATGCTTAATACAGAGTTACCATATGATCCAGCAAATGCACTCCCAAGAGAAATGAAAACATGTGTCCCCACAAAAACTTGCACATGCATGTTCATGGAAACATTATTCATAATAGACAGAACATACAAACAACCCAGTGATAATCAACTGATGAATGGATGAACAACATGGTATATCCGTAAAATGGAATACTATTTATCCATAAAAGGGAATGAAATAAATATTTATTCATGTGACAATGTGAATGAACCTCAAAAACATTATGCTAAGTGAAAGAAGCCAGAAACAAAAGGCCACTGATTCTATGCTCCTGTTTATCTGAAACTGCTAGAATAGGCAAATCTATAGAGATAGAAAGTAGATCAGTGATTGCCTGGGGCTGGTGCAGGAGGAAAGAAGGGGGAATGACTGCTAATAGGCACAAGATTTCTTTGGGGGATCTTTTCTAATAAAATATTGTCCCAAGGCTAAATGACCCTGACTGAGTCTCTATTTCTTCGTTTACTGATTTAGGACTAAGGAAAATTTCTTGCTGAATTTTCCCTTGTCCACCTATTTATGTTCCAGTTGAAAAGGACCAAGTTCTTTTCTTAATTTCATGAAGAGTCAAATAACATCTACCTAATTTGAGATTTTTTTACATAACAAATATTGACTGTCAGGAAGACATATGAAAGCATTCTGTGTGGTAGTTTATGAGTGGCTTCCAGAATTTTAAAAATCAGATGGCAACACGTTAGATGGTAAATTGCCTAAAAACAAATAGAGCATTAAAAAGACAAACTTTCTTGATATCAACAATATCTGCTTGTTATAGGATGTGGCTTTTTATGGATTTGGGAAGAGATAGAATTTAAAGGAGTTTAGAGAAGTGAATATTGGCAGGGAATCATCTGTAAAATCTATAAGGAAGCGTTCATTGAAGTAGGATAGAAATGGGGCCCAGCTTATACCATGGGGTGGCAGGTAATGTGAAGTCAGCAATATAGGCAAAGGTTCTGAGAGTGAGCTGTCTTCTCAATGTCACCCTGCCTCTCTGAATGCCTTGGTGGCAGGGAGAAGGGGCTGGGGGTATTATGGCTTCACTACACATTTCCTCTGTGAAATAGTCCAGCTTGTACCCCAACACTTGGCATAACCTTTTCTTTCAAAGGTCATAGGTGACCTCCTAATTCTGAAATCCAAGACTTTCTCCAACTCTTAATCTCCTTCTGTAGCATTTGTCATTACTGGCCATTCACCCATCACTTGGTCTCTGTGACACTATGCCATTTTTACTCAAATTATACATCTCATTCTTGATCCTACAAACACAACTTTCTTCATGATTCCTTAAGTCATTATTCATCCCACAGGATACCTTTTTTAAAAAATACTAACTTGAAACATTGATGAAAAAGTGGAAATGGCTGTGAGTTCTGGTCAATAATCTTTGCCACTGGCAATTGTGTTACTCTGATTTATTCACTATTCTTCATTAAATCTTTGATGGTAAGAGGAGTTTTTTTCTGTTTGTTTATTTGTTTTTGGTGACAGGATCTCACTCTGGTTGCTCAGGCTGGGGTGCAACCAGAGTGGGATCCCTGCTCACTGCAACCTCGACCTCCCCAGATTCAGGTGATCCTCCCACCTCAGCCTCCCAAGTAGCTGGGACTACAAGCACATACCACCACACCTGGCTTATTTTTGTTTTTTTTGTAGAGACAGGATTTTGCCATGTCGCCCAGGCTGGTCTCAAACTCCTGGGCTCAAGCAATCCGCCCGCCTCGGCCTCCCAAAGTACTGAGATTACAGGCATGAGCCATTGTGCCCATTGACTTAAGGAGGAGCTTCTTAAAATGAATGACTTCACAGTGAGTCAGTGGTATCTCCTACTCCATGTCTTTAATTAAAATATTATAGAAATAATATATTTAGTTATTTGATAGAGAACATAGTCATCAACACAATGAAATAAAAATTTCTTTACCTTTCCATCTGTTGTCTCAACAATTACTGTTCCATCATCTTCACTCCCTTTTACCTCAGCCTCGATATAAGCGTTCTCACCATCAGGAATCCAGCATTTCTTCTTCCCTGTAGAGAAAAAAAAATGGATTATAGCTATAGTACTTACAGAAATATACACTGAACACTTTCATACTGATAGATCTAATCTCATTTCTGCTAAATCGGCTTGTTGACTACAGGAACTTGCAAAGTTAGATAAAATCATGAAAGCTCATCCTGAAGACACACACACTCACATAATGGCTCTACAGAACAAGAAACATCTCAGCAAGCGGCAGCTTGGGGGCGCCATAGATCATTTTGCTACAAGAAAGTTACCTCCCAACACCCCTTCCAACCCCAACACTTTCCTCCACTCACACCCCAGGATTTAGGTAACCACCTAACCGCCCTGGTGCTTGCACCCCTTCCAGATTCCCTCCCCAAAAAAACTCATTCAGAAAGGTCTGGGAACAACTAAGTGAAAATTTAGATTAATGGTTACGTTCTTCAGTGTTTCTTTAGACCTCATGTCTAATCTTGGAGTGAAAGTCAGCTAAGTGAAATTACATGGTTGAATTGGCAGGGGGGCAGGTTGAGAAGAGAGAATATGGGTTGTTTATGTCACACAACATAACCAGCTCATATTATTTGCCCCCCATATGTTCTTTTTCTCTCTTCACCTTTCTCATTCCCATACCCCATCCCTAAGCAAAGTAGCCCTCCATAAACTGATTAACCAACAAGAGGTCTGGGGTGAAATGAGCCAGAACTCTTATGAACACCTGAGGCAGCTTCTATTTCTCTCCCACTTGAAGCAGATAGTGATGATGAATAAAAACTATGATTTTAAGGGCCTGGGTGCAGTGGCTCACATTCATAATTCTAGTACTTCGGGAGGTCAAGGTAAGAGGATATCCTGACCCCAGGAGTTCAAGAGTAGCCTGGGCAATATAGCAAGACCCTTTACTCCCCAGTCCTGTCTCTACAAAAAAACAAATAAGGCCAGGTGCGGTGGCTCACGCCTGTAATCCCAGAACTTTGGGAGGCCGTGGCGGGCGGATCACGAGGTCGGGAGATCGAGACCATCCTGGCCAACATGGTGAAATCCCATTTCTACTAAAAATACAAAAATTAGCTGGGCATGGTGACATGTGCCTGTAATCCCAGCTACTCAGGAGGCTGAGGCAAGAGAATCACTTGAACCAGGGAGTCGGAGGTTGCAGTGAGCAGAGATCCCACTACTGCACTCCAGCCTGGGTGACAGAGTGAGACTCTGTCTCAAAAATAAAAAATAAAAAAATAAAAATTAGGCAGGTGTGACGATGCATGACTGTAGTCTTAGCTACTCAGGAGACTGAATGAGGAAGTTCACTTGAACCCAGGAGTTGGCTCATTTTCCTTTAAAAGTATATATATGTGTGTATATATATGTATATGTAATATATCACACTTTCCTTTTAAAGGAAAGTGAATATTTTATATATATATATATATGAAAATGAGCCTTAGTAGAAGCTCACAGAAGTCCCCAGGTCACAGCTACTCAGGTAGATGGGGAAAGCCTTTGGCTGAAAAGGGGAAAATGCTAGCCAATGAATGGCTAGGGGAGACACAGGTAAAAACCCCACTATAACCACAGCACTAACAGGTAATGTGAACTCAGTCACCACCATCACCTCTAATATACGAGTCACAAAAGCTAGAGAGGGCTCACTGCCGCAGGACAGATGGTCCTTATTTCCCAGAGGAAGGCAGTAAGACTGGGGAAGGAGTGTGTACAAAAGAGCTGAAGTTGGGCACCATTCGCCCCTTCTTCCACCATGCTTGTTTCTGCAAAGAATTTGGTTGCTCATGACTTTCTTGCTATCAGCGCTGCCTTCTTCGTTTCCCTGATTACAAACAATTCACCACTAAAACTGCTTGGCAAGAGGAGTTTATGTTCCCATCTAGCTGATTGTGCATTTGCTTTCTACTTATCGTTTGTGTTTTAAATACTGGCTTTGCATTGTATTCATTATTTTGGTCCCTTTTTGCAAAAACTGATTTAGCTTTGTGTTATGTCTATGAAAATATGCTTGTTTTTGAAAAGCACCCAGTTAGCATACATTTTTTGTGTATGTTTAAGGTAAAATGCTCTGCATTTTAAACCAAATGTTATCACTTGAAAGAAACTTGAAGGTCACCTGGCACAGACTCTCTCCCTCTGTATCTCTCTCTCTTTTTAGAAAAAGAACCTTGGGAGAGAGATGAAGAGAGTTGCCCATAGTCACATAGCTAATTAGTGGCAGTCACTGTAATAATGTCTCTAGAAATGAGATCATCCACCTCCTGAATCAGTGCTTCTCCATTACAGCCTGCCTCCTCTAACACATGCTTAGCTTTTTCTCCTCCAATTCTTCTCTTCAGGAGTAGGCTCATCGCCTGCCTCATGATGAAGTCTCTCTTTTACCACCCCTGGAAAAACTTAGTAGGGGATAAAAATTATCAGAAATCCTTTCTCATCTGAGGCCCAAACCCTGACAGGGGCATTTTTAAAAATGAAGTAAATGAACTCCGTCAATTTTAATTCCTGGTGTTCATGAATAATGCAGAGCTGGAAATGCAGATAGCAATGGATTTGAGTGAGACAGCCAGAATTTTAACACTGGCTTTGCTTGTAACAAGATATAAAGCCACATGTCTTCATCTCTTTTGGCCGTTCGTATTCTCATCTGTAAAGTAGGCCTTTTCCTATATGATTTCATAGCTTTAGACAATTAAATATCTTTTCCAATGTAAAGCTAATATGTGCTTATTGAAGAAAACTTGAAGAGTAATGTATGAAGAAAAGAATGTTTTTAATCACCCATAATCAAACAACTCAGAGATAGCCACTGTTACGTATTTGAAGTATTTCTTTTGAATCGTTTTTCTAGGATATCGATTAAAACGGGGGTAATACTATATTAAGTTTTAGAGTTATTTTAAATAGATTGCTTACATGTTCTAATATAAGAATTATTTACATTTGGCTTTGGACTGGTGTTCTGTCTTAGCTCTAAAACCACTTGGGCTTCTTCACTGACACCCAGGAATTCTAGTTTTCCTTCTCAGGTATCAAAATAATACATTATACTTATTTTTGTCACATTTATAGTCTCATTTGGTCCTCACAGCAATGGAGGAAGGTAGACAGGACAAGTATTATCTCCTTTGACAAATGAGGAAACCAGAGCTCAATAAAGTGAGGTGATTTGCTCTAATTACCCAGCCAGAGATGGTCAAGGACAGGGAATTTGAACCCAAGACTACCTGCTAAATACTTGTCATCACACTGCTTCCATTTGACCTGAGTTCAAAAGAGCAAACTCCATTGTCTACCAGCCTGGGAAGACGAACAACTTTTGCTAACACTTGTCTCTTTGCTGCCAGTGCATTTCTATGAGGAAGGATTGTTTGGTCCAAAAAATTAATAGAAAATTATGTACATTGCTATGTTTTAAGTAATTATTTACGGTGCTGACTTTAATAAATGCATCATCCAATTATCTCTAATGCTTAGGCCCAATTTTTTTTTTTCTTCCTGGCACCACTATTATCTTGTCCTCCATTATCTAACTACCTGCGATAAGCCTCTGCATGACCAGTTCTGACCTCAGGGATAGTTCGGTTATTGTTTTTGATTTGATGGATTATAATTAGCCTAAAATCTAATCACAGTCATGAATCCAATGACTGGAAACTGGGAACTGATCCAGGACTGGTCTGTGATGGAAATATAATATCCTCCATAACTGGCTTGAATTATAATTGGTCATATTGAAGTCTAATGTTGACTAATTCTGAATACTAGAACAACATTCAGCAAGTCCTTCTGTTGCACCTACTGAATAATTTTGGATTAAGACATGTAGGTAGCTTGATGCTATATCACACTGTGAATCTGATTTCTACATCTCCAATTAGCTGAAATTCAACACAGACATGTAAAGGTAGCAGGAAAAAGAATAACATTTTAGAGATTTCAATGTAGAACTTAGCCTTTTTTTTTTTTTAAGGCTAAATCCTCATTAACCTTTGTCCTTGCCTGTAACTACCAAGGAATTATGAATCAGGGTGAGCAAGTCTCCTAATTATCTTTTGCTTAGTGTTGGCTGAGTGACCCTGCTGACCTAGAAGACCGCCAGAGGCAAAGCTCCAACATCAGAAAATTCTGGAGAGCCAGAGACAACTTCAAAGTCTGCAGCCTTACCAGAGTCTTTCCCTTTCTTCTTCCCACAATGTACAAACATCACCTACCAGTCTAAGTCACAGGCCCCTCGCTCTACTGTGGCATTCCCTGATAACTAAGAGGTTTCTAGGAAAGGCTTTGTCTGTGGCCATTCCTGCAGGTGTCTGTGTTACAACAGGGGCTCCTTGAAGAGAAAACCTGTCTTAGGACCAAGTGTGTAGGGCCCGGGCCTAGGCTGCCTCCCAGCCACCATTCCTACCCTGAATACTCAGAGGCCTTCAATTGCTCAGTTTCCTAGAGGCTGATCACACCCCAAGCAAATAAGTTGGGCTCTAGAACTGATGGCTCCTCTCTATCAATCAAATATCTTAGTCACCACCTTGAAGGAGCAAAATAAAGTGAAGCCAGCAGCCACCACATGTCTCACCGTCCAAGGCTGTGGCCTGTAGTAGAAGCAGCTCAGCTTCGCTTCTTCTGAGGAAGGCTGCGGCTTCTCCAAGCTCTGACAGATCCATCCTTATTAAAGCAATCCACCAAAACAAGGCTAGGCCTAAACGTGAGTAGAAAAGATTCACTCTGGAAAAAAAAAAAAAAATTGGTACAGAGAAGAAAAAAGTGGAAATCAAGCTCTAAATGAGCAATCATTCATATACATAGACCAAAGAGTGTTAAGTTTTCCTATTACTACCTGTGCCTCTTCTTTCTCTTTGCTGTGTCTCAAATTTATACAAAATTGGACTCAAGAATATCTGACTCTAGCAGGGCTGACCTACCCACTAGACATAGAAGGTACAGTGCCTGAGGCCCATGGTGCTTTTAGGGGCCCATGAAAATGTTTAATTTATTTTTAAATCAGAAGAAAAATATAAGTGTAATATGAATGATACATATTAATGAACAGAGCCTGGATTATATTCATCTTTAGGCCAACACAGTTATGAAATCTGATTTTTAATATTTTTTGTGGAAAAATGGTCCTTAAAGACAGAAGTGCCTATAGTCAGTGAAAGTCATAATGCCACCCTGAGCCATGGAGTTCTGACAGGTGGTAGGATGGTCCAGATAGAGAAACATCAAGTTGCGGACACTAGGCCCTTTCATAGCAGTGGAGAGGTGTTTCGAGGTATCTAATTACCCCCAAGTAGACAGACCGTCATAGACAGAGTATGGTTACAAAGAGAAGTGGTTCAGATAAATGTTCAGTAGTAGACAGTAAAGGGATAAAAAGATAAGTATCTTGGCAGAGATAAGTGTCTGGGAGCAGATGATTTACAAAAACACAAGCACAGATGGGCATTTGGGAGACCTGGCCAAGAGCAGTAATGAAGAAGCCCAGGCTGAAGGTGACAAGCAGGTTACAGGGTGATGTGAGTGAGGCTGGAGTAAATAAAGAAGTTCATTGGCTCAAGTCAGGCAAGTATCAGTCTTAGAGGGACTGAGTTGCTGGGCAAATTATCAAAGCTGAAGTCATTGAGCACCCACTGTATACCAAACACTGGACATAGTTTATCTTTAATTTTCTCACTTTACATTTGATAATAGGGAGGAGAAGAAATGGAAACTGGGCCTTCATGAACTTAAATGATAAGCTATTATTCTCTCTCTTTGGACAAAAAAAGTCTTCCTCTTCACTCAAGCGTGCAAGGCAAGTGTTACTCGTCCCATTTATAGGTGAAAAGGTAGAGAAGGACTTGCCAAGTTTGCTTAGCTCAGGTGCTGCCTTTGAGGACAGATCAGCACCCACTTCAGAATGAACTGCAATCACTTACTCTCTTGCAATGAACAAATCCAATAAACTAATGTATTTTACTGCCCTTAATCTGCTTTTCTTCTTTGTGGTGGCTTGGATAGGTGTAGTGAGGCCACTTTTAGGATCTAGTTTAAAGGAGTATGGTTTAAAGCAAAGACTAGTGGTCTAGGCTAAGACTTAGTTTTATTTCTGCCAGAAAAGAGGCATGTGACTTATGGGAAATCACTTAGCCACAGTAGGTGCAGTTTCCTCGCCTGTGTAATGCAAGGACTAGCCTTAATGTACAGGAACATTTCCTGAAGTGGAGAAAAGAAAAGATGCTCAAGAGAAATAACATACATCATGGCCCTCCAGAGTTGGGACTGAAGGTGGCATTTCTCAGGGAAAAAGACAAAACTGATTTTTCTGCGGATAAGCATTCAGATTCAGGTTTTGTAATCATTATAACAGTAATAACATTGTTAGACATTTGAATATAGAAGAACTCAAGATAAAGGAAAGCTCTGAAAGTAAGGCAGAGAAATTTAGAAATAGATGATAGGAAACATCATCAACTCTGTGGGCAGGAGCATGAGGAAAGCAGTATTTTGGGAAAATGGCTCTGGCAGCATATTCTGGGTAGATGGGGATGAGGAAAAGCCGTAGTCAGGGAGACAAGTTGTGAGTCTGGATTTGTGAAAGAATGCACTGTATCCTCCTCCTCTCTGTATGTGTGACTTCCTAGTGGCTTGCACTCAGTAGACAGTAGAGCTCAGGAAGTATATTGGGAATATAAAAGATATCCATTAATACACGTGTGTACAAACTTCCTGAAAAGATACCTAAGAAATGGATATCTGAGTAGTGACAGCAGGAGATGGGTGGGAGAAGGAGAGAACTACCTTTCATTTCATTCCATTCTGGTCAGTCAATGTGTGCCATGTGCTTATATTTCATAATTAACAGATTTTTTACAAGTAGTTCTTATTATAACATCAGAGATGAAAAGATTACAGCAAGACATAGAGCACACAGCTGTGTAACTCTCCCTCCAAGTCTGGAGCATTTAACATATTTAAAAGTATACAAGGAACAGAATATGCAGGAGCAGGCACTAGAAAGTAGGAAACAGTAGGTGCCAGGAGTGGGGCAGGCCTGGCCATCATTTGGAGATAGGTAACTGAAGCCAAGAGAATGATTCACCTGAGCAAAAAAAGGATCGAAATCCTTCTTTCTCCTTGGCCCCCTCCAGCATTCATTAACCTCTTAATGTCCTACTGACCTCTGGGTCCCTTTAGGTTCCAGTTGCACATATGGCTTTACAATTTTATACAATAACACACTTGTCACAGCCCAGTCCTAGCAACATCTTAAAATAGAAAATGAAAGAGCCCAAATGCCCAAAAGAAGTAAACAAATTAACCTTCCCAGCAAAAGAATCAGGAAGCTCTATTTTGTGAATGACAGAGAAACATAGATGAGTATAGAACTCAAGGTAATTCTCTTAGAAGGAAAAATTCATCTACATGTTGAAAGGAAATTATATTTGAGACTGGTATGCTCGTGCATGTTTATCGGAGGATTCTGACGCCTGTCATAAACACTTGTATCTGATACTGCATATATTTACAAGATAGAAGAGAGCAGGGGGTAGCACTGGAATCCTGGGAGGAGAATAGGAAAGGATAGAGCAGACGGGCTGCATGCACATTGCTGGGAGTACCTCACTCCTAGGACCTAGCTCTGCCTTTGAACATTCAGGAGCTTGATTTATCGATACATACTGGAGCGATTAGGTTCTGGGAATCACATAACTATGCTCAGAAGTGTGCATATAATTCATCACCCAAACCTGGACCTATTTTTTTTACTGGGATTTTTAAGAGGGGATGCCATTAATATTTAAATCAGGACAACAAACTTAATCTAAGACTGACCCAAGCGAATGGGGACATATTGACACTCCACTAATAAGAGAATTGATGACTTGAAATGGTAATTTCTAAACTGACAATGAGTGTACACCTTTTGCATAACTGCAAAGTCCAGGTTACTTGTCTGCATGATCCACAGGGCACATAGACAATATCATCACTATCAGAAGGTTGGATTCAGAGAAAGACATTAGATCATCATGTCCATGACATAATTCAGTTTGTAACACAGCAAAATAATGCATCTTGTTCTGTTCTAGAGTTCACCTTTACAGGGACTGAGCACCATATAAGCCATCAGTATCCTGTTTACAATGATAGAGCACAATTTCCAGGTGTATATTAGTTACCAGTTAACAAAGTAAACACAAAGAATGGGAAGCCCTTACAGGGAAGGGAGAGCTGAGATGTAAGATTTTCCTCTTGGCCAAGAAAGAATCATGTTGGTCTCACCTAGCTGCCTTTCACAGTAGCTGAGATAAGACACGAGCCTGGATGACCAACCATTCCTGTCTTCCCGGAACTGAGGTATTTCCCAGGGCTTGAGACTTTCAATGTGAAAACCAGAAAAGTTCCAGGAAAACTAGAACAAGTTGGTCAACCTACTTTTAAGTGTAGTGCCTGTAGTTCTTTTAGAAATTCAATCACTATTTTGGAAGTCAGCTATTTTTATACTGGTTGTATTTCTGCAGCTGTCCCCCTCTCCCTCCTCAGGTATTTTGCAAACCTCTTTTTGAAAATGTCCTTTTCAAATATAAATGTGAATATATTCATGCAATATAAATGTACTGCCCATCTATAATTGCCTATGTTAGGCCCAGGGGTACAATAATGCGCAGAATAAATACTGTGCCCTCTTACAGTAATAGATTTGAGTAGGGGTAGAAGTTTCTTCTGTCTTGAATTATTATGCATTAGACAAATCTGTAGAGAGAAATTTTCACACTTTGGGGTGGGAGGTGGAGCTGGTTATATGGCAAAGGTCAGAAAAGAAGCCCAGAGGGGGACTGTAGAAGCGAAGGGAAGAGGTGAGCTTGTACAGCTACAACTCCCAACTCACTAGTCTGAGTGGAAACCGTAGGCAGAGTTATGTTTTCTTAAGATGAGAAAACATATTCCTCACATTATTGTTTCACAGGCTCTTCCACTGTCTCATTCTCTGCCCACCATTCCAATGGAAGTGACTCATCCTGGATCCTCCCAATCCCCTATGATAGAACCCTTGGAGTCATCTCAAATTGCTCCTTCTATCTCATGCCACATTCAATTCATTATCAACTTTTATTGATTTTATAATTACCAGTTCTTACCCACTTCTAGTTGACACAGTTTGGAGTGCCTGTTGAGCCCACACTCCTATTAGAAGTGCCTGCTCTCATCCACAGGAATAAGCCAAAAGTAGCCATGTCTGTAAAGTGACACTGGTATCCTGGCCCAGCTTATAAACCAGGCTTCAGTATCTGATCCTGGGACAATCAGAGACAATCAGGGTATCCTGCTGGAATACAGATTTGGGATTTAGATGCCACTCTCCATCTGGGCTCTTTGCTTGAATGGAGTGATGCAAACTTGAGGGCTGAGGTTGGCATTGTGTTGTGGTCATGTGGTGCCACATGCACATTAGTCAGCAAAAGCATCAGCAAAGAGGGAGTCACAAGGATGAGGAGAAGCAGCAATAAGGGACCAAAGGAAGAGAGAGATCACTTTCTTATATCCCAAAGACCTTTCCTGGTAATAGTACCTCCTGAGACCGACATTTAATTTCTGCCTTTGATTTCCATAAGCTCTCTAAATGACCTTCCAGTACATTCTAATTTCTTTCCCAACTTTAAATAATGTCAAGTGAATTTGT